CAATTTTTATCTGACCATACCGAAGTAGGGAATTTTGAAACTTTATAGTAATGTGAAATTTGAATTACAATATTACACGATATTACATAATTAGTACTTATTTTAGGTAGGTACTAAATTTGTACTTGGAGAAAGTAATATCGATTTTTATAAGAAAACTTGAAAAGTAAATTAATTTAGTTCCTATTTCTGATGTAAAACTTAAGTTTTGGTTTAAACCAAGAAAACAAATAAATTATAGTTTGTTCAACAAGGGTGGATATGATAGCAATATCACACAAAGACGAAGTTTGAGCACGACGTCGTATGCGGAGTACTCAATCGTCTGATTGTGATATGAACAATCCATTCGATATGGTCAGTATATTTTTTCTACGACCCACTAACGAAAATCTACAAATTTAAAAAATTATTTTAGGTTATTTAGACAAAATAACTAATTTTAAAATAATTTACGAAGTTGACTAATTTATAAAATAAAATTAACATGAAAAATTAATTAGTCCTCGGCCTAGATTCGATCCCGGGCTTTTCGCGTGGAAGGCAGATGCTCTGTCCTCATCTTCACCGAAACTTTCAGGACTAATTAAATTAGTATCATGTAGTTTGATTAAAATTTATTTTTTTTTAAATGTGGACACAATAAAAACAAAAATGCTATTATTTATCGAGTCTACACAAAAATTTTAATGTATATTTAATATCAATAACTAAAATATATATTGACAATTAGTTTAACAGAATTGTCACTTATTTAAAAAAATTTAAATAATAGGAGTTGGGTGACCAAAATATGAACTGTGATTTGTAGATTTAATTTTGTTAAAGTGTTCTCACTACCTAAAATGGATATGAAATATATTCGTAGTTGAACGCAATAACATACTTTTTCGTTTTGTAGTATGTGCATAGATTGGCTAATATCCATGCACAGATTACAAAACGAAAAAGTATGCTATTGCCTTCAATTGAACGAATATATTTCATATCCATTCTAGGTAGTGAGAACACTGCAAAAAAAAATAAATTCGCCAATCACCGTTCATATTTTGATCAACCGACTGCTATTATTTTTAAAATTTTAAATAAATGACAATTCTGTCAAACTAATTGTCAGTATATTTTTTAGTTATTGAGATTAAACATACAATAAAATAAGTTATTCTTTTGGAAAACGTTAGCATGGATGACTAAAGGATATTGGGTTAATTAATTCTAAAAGTGTGGTACAAATGTTATTTTTTGTAGCCAATTCTTCAAAATTATTTTGAAATATCTTTTCAATATTGAATATTAGTTCTACAAATTCATCATTTGACAGTTGCAGATTTCCAAATGTATCTGGATTGGCGTTATCATATGCCTTTAAAAAGCAATAAAAAGAAAAATCATCTAATTCAACGTGATCTTTGTTATATTTAAGACAGGTATCGCAGAGGAGTGGATCCGCAAGGCTTTTATTAAAAGGTAACCACACACATACCTGATAAAATTTTTCTGTATCAATTCGTCTTTACAATAATTTAGGGTGTTAATAATTTTATCATAAAATAAAATACAAGGTGTTCCATTTAAAAAACATACATTTTAATTTGCCAGGCAAAAACGTGACACCCTGTATATCCAAATATATTTTTAAAATATGTAGGTATTTTTCAAATCCATATAACTTTTATTTAAAACTTTCTTGCGTGTCTACAACAAAATAATGAACAATAACGCACTAATGGGATACCCTGTATAAATTATATTTTTAACAATGAAAATTTCTTATAATGTGGTACTTATCGGTTTGGGTCCTTGGGAAAACTAAGGAATGTTTTCTTGCAGGTATAACCCTTATTAAAACAGCTTTTGACTGCACAAACAGAATGATGTCTTTTTTTTTCACTCATTCTACTCATAGCTAAAGAGTCACCAAAATAATAACAGTACCTTTAACTCAAACAAAATCAACGAAATTATAGGCTCCACGAAATTATACAATCAACGAAATTATAGGCTCCACGAAATTATACAATCAACGAAATTATACGCACGACTCAACACCTTACCTAAGTACGCTTCTGAACACCAAAACCGTCTTTTCCCTTCGAAGGCGGAGCTTAAGCGATGCGCGACGAAATCGACGCAAACCGTTGCCGCCAAGAGAGTGTTTTAGCTGTATTGTATAAGCTGTGCTTTTACTTTCTCTATACAATATGCAGCAGTTAGTAAGGCATAAACAATAATTGTTTGAAGTTATCTAGCTTTGGTGTACGTATATTTTGCTTGGTTTATTTATATAAACACCAAAGCTAGATAATATAGGATGGACCAAATAATAATTATTTAAGTATATTCGTAGGGTAAATCCGTATATGGTGCGTTTAAATCTTACTAGAAGATTTACTATAAACTTTAGAACTGCATTGGGATTTTCAATACGACACGTGTTGAGATGCCTATCTTCGTTCCACAGAATGCGATTCTTATGTAATGTCTCTCTCTATTCGATTCGTTACGTATTGAGTTCGCACATAAGAATCCCTATCTATCTAACTATCTATCTAAATTTGTTTCACATAGCTAGCCATTTTAGTTGCCGAATATTGATCGTGAGATTTCTAATAAAAATTCTTCAATATTTTTTGTTTGTTCTATTATTTCCACATCTATTATTTCCGCACAAGGTGCGGGTAAATATTGCATAGGAAAAAAATATTATTTTTGTCTAAAAATATCAGACTATCTCTAAAAAGACCAAAAATAAGTTTTGACAAAAAAAAAATTTTTGCTGTGTGTCCACCGTAACTCCCGAAGTATCGATTTGAAATTTAATAGACATAATCAAAAAATCTCTAAAATAGTTTTTAAGTATTGATTTAAGTAGCAACATTTTTTTGTATCTCTGTGTCTGTTTAATACTGACCCGTCCTATATAATCCAATGTCTCGGTAACAAGCTCAGAAGAGTAATTTAAATACAATATGCGTTGCCTTAGTGAGTACTTTATGAAACCGCAATATTTTAATTTAGGCAGGCAGTGTACACACAACTTGCCGAAGTGGTACGGGCTCTTAACGAAATGCCTTGGCAGATTGTGTAGCTTCATGATTTTACACAATATGCCTACGCTTCATGATGTGACTAGGGTCTTCATGAAAAGACGAATTTAACATCCAACGACATATATAAGGTCGTAGGTTCATAATGAAATCTGTCATTTCATGAAGATCCAAGTAATATCACAAAAATAATATAAAAGTTGAAGCTTATTTCTCAAAACGTATAAAAAATAGAGAGAAGCAGTCACAAGCCAAACAGTTGCTGTAACGCTGAGTCAAATTTCCTAGAGATCGAAACCGAAATCACAATTCTCCATCCCTTCTCGTTTCAATGGACCTTTCCCATTATTGAAAATCTCTATTACTCATGCGCAAATTCTATTTCCACTTAAAATCATCAAAATTTACAGTCGTTATGTCTCACATCCGCAAATGTAATTTTGTTTTTGTGTTTGATAGTATTGGTAGGGAAGGCAGTGGCACTTATAGGTGTGTTATTTGCGGAAGGCAAAATTACAATTATATCGTACATTCTTACCTTAAAGAAAATAGAATCAGAAGCCTTCGATGAAGATGTTTTCAAAAAGCCTCTGTATAAAATGCTGTCTGATAAGAGAAAGTTTTAAACTTTTTTATTATTTACATCAAAAATTAATAGAAAAAAGTTTGCTACCACCTTTTTGCTTGTTGATAAGGCATTTCACCGCCAGATCTATTGCAACAAACGATTTTCATTAATAATACATATTCTATCGTGGAAAAAATGAGCCTTGCGAAAATAAAAATTATTATATTAATTGTATTTTTCAAAATTGAAAGTTTTCCACCTATGCCAAGATGGCAGCAAACTTTTTCTATTTTTATTGTCTATATTGACTTTTTGAAGACGTCGTCGTCGAGCGCTTCATAGTATTTTAATATTCTATAACAAGGTAAAAATTAACGATACATTTATAATTCAGCCTTGTGCAAATGTATACAAAAAAAAACTATCACTAGGGTCCCTACTATATAGACTCAATGACAGCAAGGGCGGCTCCAGGGGGGGCATAGGGGCCATGTGTTTAGGGCTCCGTCAAATATTTTGCGTTTCAAAAAGGTTCCATCACCAAAAAAGTTTGAGAACCGCTGATCTAAAGGCAATGCACCCCCAAAAATTCGTGTTGGAGTCGCCCTTGAATGACAGTGGTTTAAATTCACAATGATAAGAAAGGGAATAATTAAGTTGTTTGGAAATTACTAGATTCAATATTTCTATGCTTTTATCGCGCATGAGTAATGCGAAATTGTCGAATACCTCCTCGTTTTTCTGTTATCATGATATAAAAAACCCAGTTCCCATGTTAAATTTCGTGGATCAAATGTTGCTATCAGGATAATAGAAAAGCAAGAATGTATTTTAAATCAAAATTTTAATCAAAATACCGTATGTTTTAGGGTAACGCAAAGTTAAAGTCCGTAACCAAATAGTCATTTTGGTAACCCAAAATCGACAAATATTTAAACTTGATTTACTCCCAAACGGTTTAATATAGAGACAAACGGTATAAAGCAATTTAATGTATATGTACGGCTCTACGTTTTTGTGAATTTATAGAACAAGCACACTCCGTAATTTGTCGTGCTTTCTTTAATATAAACCCAAATTTGAATAGAAATCAGACGACAAATTGTTGATCAAAAATGTTTTACGGCGTATTTTTTGATAAAACAGAAATAAAAAATGGCGTACGCATAGAATGCAACGTCTAGATCTTAAAAAGATATACAATCCCCCTCTAATATAAATAGTTTAAAAGTTGAAGCGGATTTCTCAAAAATTATCGAAGGTAGAGAGGAGTAGTCATCCAGCCATAATAAATAATATGAATATTCTACTTCACCTCAAGAAATCTAAAATTGCCTTTTTTTATTCGATAAACCCTTCATAAGCATTTTTCGTAATAAAACTACACAAATACAGATAAAAATTCATAAATATATTTCGATACGAAAATATTTACACTTCAAATCATCACATTTAATAAATTACTGAGGACCCATCATCCCCATGGGCATATTGACAGGATAACCACCTTGCGCCGCTTGTCCAGGCAATTGCATCGCGGGCGACTGTATCTGTTGAACGCCACCGGTTACTGGACTTGGCACCTGCGGCTCGGAAGGTAATGTTAAATTGCTTAGGAGCTCTCTTATCGCCGGAAATACGGAGCATTCGTTGATGTTCGACTGAAACTGAGTGAAGTGTTTCAACATCTGACTGACGGCTGTCATCGCTGGATTAGCACCTGCTTCACGTTTTTCGGCCAGCGTTGTTACATTTGAACCAATATCGTAGATCAAAGGAAGAACTATCGATGGTGGCTCCATGTTGATTGGATACTGGAGGCCGATTCGAGTTATTTGAAGCTGAAAAAAATTAAAGAATAGGATAATTTTACATGAAAATATGTTTATAGCAAATTATGTACAGAAAAAGTTGACAATGCTAATGAAGCAATTATTAGGTAGGTACAACGACGAACAACTACTAGACTAATTTTGTTTACAAAAACCGAATTTCAAGCATTCACGGTGTTATCAACGTGATTGTCAAATTATTATGGGAGTCTTATTGCAAGGAATATTTAAAGTTATAATTTGGAAGTGACTTAACATAAGGCTCTAAAATGTACAATGGCTTTAAAAATTACTTTAAGGAAGTATTTAAGCATTTTTAGTACTAGTTATTATCTGTTTAATGTATTTTTCTGGTTGCAAATATTAATACAGCTGAAGGTGATTTACAGGAAAGTACACCATTTATTTACAGAGTGGCAACCATGTAAAGCAGCTCTATTCTTGACTATTCGTAAATTTCAAGGTCACTCGTAGTCTGAAATTATGAACGAAATAGTAAATTGTGTTACTCTTGATTATGCACAAGACGTTCAAGTACTCACATTAAACAGCGAGTGGGTACTATCAATCGCAAACTACTTGTGATTGGGTTTAATGAATTAACTTGTCATATTCGTTTAGTTTTTAGTTTAAAGAATTTTTTAAATGGCGTGATTGGGTGTATCGTGTATAAACTGCTCCTCAAAAAAAAAATAAACAAAAATTTAAATTAAACATAATTTTTAAAGAAAACACATTTTTTATGAGGTTGAAATATTTTTTTTTGTATTTCCTTTAAAGTTGATCATTCGATTAAACTACCATTAGATTATTTTAATTAATCGCTTAATCAAAATCGAATATAAAAATTATCTGTCAACAACAAAAATAATCGATTAATCAAGAATAATTAATTAAAAATAATCGATTAATCGTAAATAATCGAGTATGCGTAAATAGTCGATTAATCAAAAATAACCTATTATTCTAAAATAATCAATTAATTGAAAATAATCGGTTGATTAGAAATAATCGGTTTATTAGAAATAATCGATTCATCCAAAAAAAAAAAATTAAACTATATTTTGCCCACCCCTAGTAATTATAGTTTTCGGTTTCGTAGAAGTTACTGATGCATGCATAACATGTTTGTGAAGTTTTTAATAAAAAAAAAGCAAATTGGCTTTTTATGTTTCAAGTAATTTTACACAGGGTCATGAAATGTGGTTACTTAATTTTATTTCAATTAAAATAGATAGGAAATATAAAAGCAATTTTGGCAGTAAACCATGGCACACTAAATATTCATAAATGGCGTTGAAGCTACATAATGGCTTCTGAACAGACAGGTATTTGGTGAAATAAGGTAAAAGGACAACATTTACAAAATGTGGTGTACCTACTATTCTTTCATGTAATGTACAATTTTGATTGGATTTTTAATATGCAATAAATTTTTTTGTCATGTTTGTTTAATTTATTTATAATGTATTTATTTAAAACACTTTATTTACAATTTATTTATAACGTACTAAATAATTTATATAATACTTAGGCACTATTATAACTCAATTCTAATTTATTTATTACAATTTATCTTTTCTGTCCAACACTTGAAACTTAACGTCTACCGACAAAGTCGTACTATTTATATAGAGCCAGCTCTGTACCAGAACACTCTCGGCTTTCCAGGCTTCATGACTCATACGCCGCAAATGGATCACTCCGGTAGCTTATCGAAGCAGTACGTTTGTCTATATATGGCCAGCGCTAGACTTCATACTGCGGGCAAGGAGTAAACAAAGTACAGAGACGGCTCCGCGTCACATTGTCCCTCTTTAAGAAATAGTTCCTCCTGAAAATAAAACTGAATGATTGTATCTGCAACTGGATCCTCTTTTACAATTTCCAGTTGCATGGAAGTAATAAGGGACGGTCTTCTCTATAACCTGAACGCTGGGAGAATGGCTGCAGACCAGTATTTCAACCTGGGTATCTTGGAAGATTACTTCCAGCATGTTTCTAATGATCCTCCAATTTAGCTGGTTGCTCTCTATCTTGAGCAATACTAGTTTCTGTACATTGGAGTCCAGTACGTGCTCCCTCGGACTGAATAATACTTCCCACACATCATGATAAGTGGATCGATCTCGGAAGGTGTTATTTGTTATCAAATAAAAAAAGATAACGCGATCCATCTAGAAGTGTCAATGTTTTTCCAGGAGCTGGTAACTGTCCTTGAAGTTCTGGCAATCGACCAAACTTCTTCCGGAACACAGATTCCAGACCTCGAGCGTCGTTGATGTTGGCGGAAGTACTATGGAGCAGCAAGTAGTCTTTAGGAACCGTGAGCAGATCTTGTTGTTGCTCGGTTGTAACATCATGTCTTGCTTTTCTGGTACCTCCATATGCACCCCATAAATTCTTCAAATACAAGGTCAGGTATTTCTTGTAGCTGTTTTACTTCTTCTTCCTCGTCATGGTCACCCTCAAATGGCGCCAGCCGGTATTGGTGAACTACCTTCGGTTTACCGTTCGGGATCTTACTTATAGGGTAAATGACATCATTGATTTTTTTAATGAGATATGGACCTTCCCAAGACCTTTGAAGCTTCGGAAAATAACCCTTTTGTCTTTTTAGGTTATGAAGCCAGACTTTGTCGCCTTCCTTGAAACATATTCCTGTGACTTAGGTATCGTATCGCTTCTTCATTCTGTCGCTGGCGATTTGAAGATGCGAGCGTACTAACTCAAGGTCACACGGTAGTATATCACGCCCAAACAGCACCTTTGCTGGTGTTTAGCCTGTAGATTCATTGACAGCAGATCTATATGTCATTGCGAAGAGCGAAAGATACTCATCCCAATCTCGCTTGGTTGTAAACTACTTTTGGCAGGTATTTTCAGTTTGGCAAGGGCATTCATAGTAAACGACACGTTTTAGTTAGCTCTGTTTTATTACTTTTAAATACAAAATATAGATGTTTAATTTCTGAAAATTACGTGGTAAAAACTTTATTGTGTGAATTACATGCTAATATGAACCTCAAGTGCGTGTTTTTGGCTGAAAAGTGCATTTAAATCCTCAGTATTCCAGTATTCCTCATATTTTGTGTGTTAAACAGGTTTTTTTCTTTTTGTTATCATCATAAAGGAAAAAAGATAAACTGATAGTGTATTAACCAGTGCGGTACTTTTTTAGAGGGTCCTTAGAATAACATGTGATTGATTTAATTATGGAATGTTCCATATGTAAATTAATAAAACAGCCCACAAAGGAAATTAAAACCCCCTGTTTTCAGTGTGATTCCTATAGAAGCAACATCTACATTGAATGTTATGATTTAAGATCATCCGAAATAAGATGCATCCCTCTTCAAAAAAGAATTTTAACATATCTGTGCAAAAAATTTAGAAATTATGAACTTGTTGATATTTTAAATAATACTATTGCTGATACAAATAAAATAATAAGCGACCAAGAAGTGATAATTAAGCTACTTACAGAGAAAATAGAAAGTCTGGAAAAACAAAACCAAATCTCTTATGCCAGTGTTTTACAAAAAGAGAGTCCAATTCCAGCTACCAACATAGTGAAACACAACATACCAAATATTATCGTAAAAACCAAAACAACATCAATCTATCAATAAAACTAAAAAAGATGTAAATGAAAGTATCAATCCTGGGGAACTCAAAATTGGAATTACCAATATTAGATCAACCAAAGCAGGTAACATGATAATCAAATGTTTGAAAAAAAATGAGGTTGAAATTCTTAAACAAACACTAGATAATTCCTTAAAAGATTACTACGAAGTTGAAGTCAGTAAACTTAAACGTCCAAAAATAAAAATCGTGAATGTCACACAAAATTTTACACATGAAGAGATTAAAAAATATTTAAAAGAACAAAATAACTTAGTAGACGAAGTTACTGTAAGTTTCATTCATGAAAACAGAGATAAAACCATAACAATAATTTGCGAATGTTCCTCTAGTGTTTTTCATCAAACATTAAAACTAAAGAAATTATGTTTGGGATGGGCAAGATGTATGGTCTATGAAGATTTGAGCATACCAAAATGTTACAAATGTCAGGAATATTATCATAAAAAAGAGGACTGTGGTAATAGAATTAGATGTCCTATCTGCTCCATAGAACATATGGAAAAAGACTGTCCTAAACAAAATACATATTGTAAAAACTGTGAATTGTCTAATGGAAAATATAATACTAACCACGCCACTGACCATGAAAGCAGAAATCCAGCTTGCCCAACCTTTAAATTTCACCTAGATATGCTGAGAAACAAGATAAGCTACACTGAATGAAATGAACTGCGGACAAATTGTCTATATTTTTTAAGTATCTTTTCTTTGTCTTTAAAATTTTTATACTTAGGTACGAATTTAAATTTAATTTAATTAATGGGCATTGCCGAATTAGATATTTTAAATGAAATAGAACTTGAAGAAACTCAAGCTTTAAGTATTGTAAACCAAAGATATGACATATAACAAATATTGGGCTGAAGCAGTTTTTAAAAAATCTAAGCTAAAAATTTTTTAAGTTAATATACAAAAAAAATTTTGATTTCTTCTTATCATTTCTTGAAACATTTCAAATAAAAGACCTGGACATAATTATCTTTGGGGAAACAAGAAACATAAATGAAATTTATTATACAAGGTTTTCAAACATTCTTCAATGGTAGTAGTAACAATCAAAACGATGGAACCCTTATTTTTATTAACTTTGACATACAAAATATTATTTTACCTTTAAGTAATGTTACAGTAATTAATTTTAAATGACATAACATAGGCATTTCCTTACTAACTTGTTATAGAGCCCCATCCATTAATGAAAACTTGTTTTTGGGAGATTTAGAATCTTTTTTAAATAACTTTAAGGGCAATAATATGGATATTATAATTGGCGATATAAACATTAACATACTTAATCCCACAAGTGCAGTATCAAACAACTATATATCTCTATTAGCTTATCTAGGTTTTAAGTCTTACATAAATTCATATACTAGAGTAACTCGAGAATCCAGCTCCTGTATAGACCATATTATTATGAGAAAAAATTTAGAAATAAATAATCTAGCACAAGATGCTTTTGTAATAGATATAGATATCACGGATCATTTTCCTATATTCTTAAATATCCATCTAAAAAATGGTAACAATACTGTAAACAATAATATAGACAAAAAAACTGTTCAGATATTTGATGATGACAAATTCGGAGACAAGATAAGTTTAGTAAATTGGGGAATGTTTTTACTCAAAATGACCCAGAATTCACTTATCAAACTTTTATTGATACCTTTAAGACCATATACGATGGTTGCCTTCACACTAAAATAATAAATTCAGTTAACTGCAAGAAACTTAAACCTTGGATCACTAGCGGTATAATAAAATCTATACAAAGAGATAAATTAAAAAGACTTGTAATTGAAAATAAAAATAATGCTAATTTATTACAAGAATATAAAAATTATAGAAATAATCTTAACAAATTAATCCAAATTACGAAAAACACGTACTACAAAAATCAAATTAAAGAAAATATCAATAATATGAAAAAAATTTATGAAATAATTGCTCATGCCACAAATGAGAAAATAAATAAAACCAACAATAATATAAGTATATCAAATAGTATTAACGAACCCTTTAGAGACGATACCGAAATGGCTAATTTCTGTAATAGATTTTTTGTAGATGTAGGAACTGACATGTATGCAAAAATTAAACAACCTAACTACGAGAATAATGTGAACTACCCCAATTTTGTACACTCCATTTATAAATCATTAGTAGAATCGCTCCTAAGATATGGTATCATTGCCTGGGGAGGGCTCTATGACAATGTATTAAATTAATTGAATGTTGTCCAAAACTATATTTTTTTCGTGTAATATTTTTTAAAGACAAACTTTTTACAACTAACCTATTATATAATCATGATATTCTAAATATGCAATGTCTTTACTACCTTAGCAACTGTTTATATGTCTTTAAATCTAAAAACAAAAATTATATCAATCATCACTACCAAACAAGACATAATCTTAATAACATGATCTTGGTACCATTTAGAAGATATGATGCCAACCAGAGATTTACTGCAATCATAGCGCCAAAAATTTTCAACATATTACCATTGAAGATTCGAACCACAATTGGGTATAAAAGGTTTGTTGAGCAATGTAAAATTTTTATTTTTGAGAAAAGAGAATACATTGCTCAACTTTTGTAGTTTGTAAGTATACTTATATTTATTTCTCTAAACTCAAGAAATTATTTTAATTTGTTAATTGTTATTTTATGTTCCTCTTTTTCATATTTTTGCCATTACCATATTATATAGTTCAGAGTAACTTTAAATCAATTATATTGCTATATTTTATGTTATATTTTACATTTCGTTCTTGCACACACAAGTGTTAAAACACTTAGGTGTATTTATTATTACAAGCCTAAGTTTTTATTTAATATTATATTATCAAGTCATGTATATTGTATATAATTGAATTGAATAAATTGATTTGCCAATGGTCTTATTCATTCGCTCTACCATTCCATCTGTGGGTGCAATGCCGTAGTTCTGGTTTTCTTCATGCCTAGTCTGTCACAGATTCCTCGGAAAAGCTGGCTTTCAAAATTTTTGCCTTGGTCACAGTGGATCTTCAAAGGCACTCCAAATCTACTGATGAAATATTTGCGGCCTCTTGATTTGGAATGGCGTAGACTTCCACAACCACTATCATGTATTTATTGTCATTCTCGGTCATGGGGAATGTTCCAGCCATATCTAAGGCAATTCTCTCAAATGGGCTACCTACGTTGTACTGCTTCATATGGTCCTTTTTCGTTGGGGTCCGTTAGTCATAGCACAGGTGGTACATTTTTTACACCAGTCCTTTACATCATCAGAAATGTTCATCCAATAAAACCTTTCACGAATTCTCTGAAACACCAAGATGTCCTTCTGATGGACTGTCGTTTAACTGATGAAGTACTTCGGCTACTCTAGTCTTTAATCACTCTGTTCTTAAAGTCTAACTGGAAACCATGTAAGTTCATTACATCTATTCCAAGAATAACATATTCTTCGATATTAGCGACAATAACAGTATGAGTGAACTTTTCATAAAATGACGAGTATTTATTTGTTTTTGATTGAAAAAAAAAATGGCAAATTACTTTAAACAGTTCTAGAATGTGTAAAGTATATCAGTAAGTGGTTTTAATTTACATATGTTTCTGACTGTATTGATGTGCAATGTATCATCTTCGTCAGGTTACTTTACACACATTTTTGAAAAGTATTAATACTTCAGGAAATATACCAGAGGATAAAATTAAATAACCAGCTCAGTAAATGATTTTATTATAACATTGCAAGTTTCTTTTAAATTTCACCATTTACTTCAGATTCAAGAACAGAATGCAAGAAAAATAGGCTCCAAAACTTAAAAAAAATTTGAAACCTTGAAAGTTCAGTATTTAAAACATAAGAAAGATCTTATTGTCTGCCATATTACTAAAAAATATATATATTTCATTTGGTGTTAAATCAGGAGTTACTAAATTCATTTTTAATTTGTTTTGTTTTAAATTGATAAATTGCCAACATGCCTTGGCTTTATTGTCTGCTTGAGTAATATATTCATCGCAAGCCAGTTTTTGTGTATCTTAATTTTTTCGATGTATTCGTTTTTGAGATTCTTATACGTTTTTATGTCATTTAATATTTTGTAACGTCTATTATTAGTTTGATGGTTGAAAGATAATTTTTTAGAGAGTTTAAAACATTTTAAATTCAAATTATGGTATGTATTGATAAGAAAACATGACAAAAAATTACATTACCTTTTAATTACAAAAAAATACTCCAATCTATATTTTACAGAGGCTGTTTTAACATTTTTATTCCATTGTAATACTTTTATAACATGCTTGATTTTTATTTTTTGTCTAAAATAGTAATTCACAGAGATGTATTGGGCACGATGGTCCAGAAAACAGGGTTCAAAAACCCTCAGAAGTAAAAAATTCGTTTGAAAAATTTGTAATTATGTTATCTATACAATTTGAAGATGGAGCTATAACTCTTGTATCAGCTACTATTGTAAGGGATAAACCAAAATATTTCAACAAGCATTCAAATATGAAAAGATTTGTGATTTAAAATTAATATTAAAATCGCCTATTATTAATTTATCATACTTTTCAAGTATTTTATGTACTACAGATTCGAAACTCACATAAAAACTACAAGATAATTTGTCATACCATAAAATAAAATTACATTAGTATTATAATACAATGATCTACTTACAAAAAAGAGCACTTTGGCCCTAAATACAAGCACTCCCGTCATTCCCATAGGAACAAGATTTGGAGCGCTGGGTGGTACCCGAAGCATCCATTGCACTGCCCATTTCATCTGCTGTTGTTGAGCCAAACCGGGCACCAATTCCAACTTCATAATTTGAATGAAATCTTTCAAAACGTTCACCGGAAGGTTCAGCATATGACAGAAAGTGAACATCGACGTAGGTTTGTAGGGTGGTGCGGCGGCTCTTGTGTCGAAAAACTTTTCCAGTACCTTCGAATTATACATTTTTAATTAGAAATTAAAACTGAGAATCAACTACATTCTTTTTTTGCTATACAAACTGTGAGAATGGATCTGAAGGTATCAAGAAAGCTTTAGCGAGTTATTTGTAATGAGTTATTTAATTGGCCCTTGATATTCCCAGAATTTAGACAGCCAAAATTTTACAATTTTCTAAAACTATCATTGAAAAGCTTTCATCCTAATTACTATTTAATTATTATAGTATCCTAATAATGAGTTAATAGTAATGGTTGAAAAGGCATTGTTTCTAGTGTATGATAAAACTTTAATGTTACTTATAGATATATTTTTACCTGTAATTCCTCTTGTGACCACACCTCCTTATGTTCTGGTAAAGGCGTTATCTTAAGATGTAAACTTTGTAAATGTTGAGTATTTAACCCTATTCTACATTGTAAGGTTTCTGCTACTTTGAAATGAATAACTCCAGGCTCGGTGTTGGGTATTGCCGTTAGCTAAAAAAAAATAATAACAATTACATAATATCATTATACACCAGTTAAAGGGACTCTAGTGTTGCAGGTTCGGATTCATCTCAAGCGACGAAGTTGATGGCTCTTTAATGATAATACGATATTAAGATGTTTAAGGAATATCTACAGGTTATGAAGATCCTAAAGAAATCTCTAAATATGGAAGCATTATGTAGTAGTCCTAAAATGGTACCCTCAATGGCATAGCCAATGATATCTATGCAAAAACTAACACCACCATGAATTCTAGTTATGAGTAGTTATTCTTCCATCTCTTTTAAAGAGATTGATTGGCTTCACTGTATCAATAATAAAACTATCAACATTAAGAACACCAGATAGATGTGGTGCCATAGTGATATATTCCCTGAAGCTATATCAAAATAAACAAACATACAAGTAATGTATATTTTATATAAGGTTAGCAACTTTAAATGGATGTATTCCCTGGGGTTATGTCAGAATACACATACAAGTAATGTATATCAGGTTTGGCCAACTTTATGTGCATAAGATCTACTTTTTTATTTTTCAAATGTGTGGGAATCGACCTAAAAAAAATCGATTTTTTTTATACTTTTTTAAGATAAATTTATGAATATTTTTTTAAATTGTAATTTATAAGTGGTGGTACGATTTGTTCGTAAATAGTACGTCTGATAATTTGAATATAAAATTTTTCCCTTTCTGATTTTTTTAAACCAGAAAAATTTATCACGAAAGATAGATATAAAATTTTTAGACTTATTTTTTGCTATGCAGTACTTACAGAAAATAATTTCTAAATAGTACAGTATATCTAACCTAACACAAACAATTGTAATAAGACCACTGGATGATACTAGTAAAACATTGCAAGTATCTTTTTACAATTAAATATATCACAGTAGGAGTAAAATTTATTATAGTTCTTGTATAAGCGATTCATAAATGCTCAATGTATAGGTCATTCACTGAATTTACAACCATATCGGATTAAGAAACAGATGGACGACTGAGCCGGTCTACAGGATAATTTCGCATCAGGTAGATGAGTAAAATAAGCGTAGTCCTCCGGTGGGTAGAGGGCGAATATATTTTAATTATTAAATACTTATATAGTATATAATTATGTTTATTAAAATTAAATTACTAAAGTAATACACGAAAAAATGAAAATATTTATAATTTTGTTTTGGACATTGTTTATGGTAATACCATTTTCCCCGAATACAATAAACGCTTTATGGTCAGGAATTTCCAGAAGTGCCCTTCTCAGGTATAAAATTAAGATTAAATGTTCTATTTTTGTAATTATGTTATAGGACTAATTGCGCTAAATTATTTAGTTCAGTTTTGGATTTCGAAGAGAACGTATGTTGAAACTGAAAATGCCGAAGCGCGTGTTATGTGTAGATGACTTAATTTGTAATCTACATAAGTATTTTACGGCGGAAAAAGATAACGGAGGACCTTTAAAGCAAGTAGTGAGTGTGCATGAACGCGTCTGTACAGCTCTCGGTATTAGTGATTCAAAATTAAAATATGTTTTGAAAAACGTCAAAAGCGGAGAGAGCAAAAAAAGAAAAAATACACACCTCGCAAAAAACTGAAAACATCGGATATATCTGGTAGGACAAAATTTCGTATTCGTGATATGGTGTATGAAATGCGTGCGAAAAAGGAACATGTCAACTTAGACACATTGCTGGCTAACTTAAGAGAAATACAAATTGGTGACTTTGGCAGAACAAGTCTTTGGAAGTCGCTTAAGGAAATAGGTTTCAAATTTAAGAAAGAAGATAATAGAAAAGCTTTATGTGAAAAAAATTATGTTGTTTACAAAAGAATACATTTTTAAGAGAATACACTCGTTTAAAAGAGAATGGAGCTTCGTTTATATATTTTGATGTAACCTGGATATTTTCCAAAGGTGGGACGAAAAGAATATGGCAAGATGAAAATATAAAATCAATAAAACATACTAATGCTGAGGGAAAGCGACACATAATCTTGCACGCAGGTGGAAAGAATGGAGTTGTGGATGGTGCAGGATTAATATTTTCCTCTAAATCAAAATCAGAAGACTACCACGATAATATGAACTCGGATATGTTTATCAAATGGTTAAATGAAAAACTATTACCCAATTTAAGTGAACCGTCTGTTATAGTGTTAGATGATGCAAGCTATCACACAGAACTTTTTAACAACCCGCCAAGACAGAATTGGACTGTAGCCAAAATACAAGAATGGCTACGTAACGAAAATGTTGTATTTTCACAATACGCCCTTAAATCTGAGTTGTTAACTTTAGCCGAACGGCATGAACCACCACACATTTATATGGTAGATCAAGTCATACATAGTTATGGACATGATGTGTTACGGCTTCCACCATACTATTGTCAGTTTAACCCCATCGAACACATTTGGGATATATGTAAAACGTATTATGACAATCATATTGGAATTAATGGTTACAGCGACGAAGCAGTAAAGGAAATATGGAAATAAACACCCCAGAAATTTGGCAAAAGTGTTCAAAAATGTGATAAATTAATTGACGACTGGTGGCACGTGAAAACAGGATAAACGAAATTAACCCTATAATTATATCCCTTAATCGACGCTAGCACAAATTTTGAGAGTGATGTTGAAGATTTATATGTATGTCAAAAGACAATTATTTATAATAATCACTGTTTAATATAGAATTTTAAAAGTTATGTTATTTTTAATCATCGTACTTAATCGCAGGGTAAAACTGGGTATGTAAATTAAAATTTTTGTTCTGAATAAACTATTATTAAACAACAAAATCATCTCTTTTAAGCTTTCTGAGGCAAAATTAAATACCTAAAATTTATATATATTTTGTTTCTATAAGAACCCCTTGCAATATACAAAATAACGCCACCCATGAGTAAATGTTTAAAATACAACTGACCAGTCAAATCTTTCATTTATTTCTTAATCCGATATGGGTGTAAATTCAGTGAATGACCTATACGTAATAATTGGTTCTGTCTTTTTACATTCAGAAGTGATGTGTGCAAGTCCATCAGGCAGGAATTCATAATTAAACTCTTTCAAGTAGTAACCCGCACTTGATAGAACAACCTATTAAATTTGCCAGGAATAAGAGTGAAATCTGTTTTCTCCTGCATTCCAGGTTCTACACGCCACAAAGCAATAACCTTGTTTGATAACGTGTGTTACAGCTATGTAATCAGTGCTTTAAAGAGAAGGCATTTTATGAATGTATGTGGTACCCTTTTAATTCTATTAATATGTAAGTTGGCAAATAACAGAACATATATATTTCAGGACACTTCATACCAGGCCATTGTAAAGTGTCTTGATTGGTTTTGTTTTATTCACGAACCTTATGTCTTTTAAAGAGGCCAACCTACTACGAAATCTATGTGGTATCAAAAATAGTGCCCAGATCAATAACTGTCAAGGAATTAAGTCGGCCATGTCAATATGCAGTTAAGGGTAGGATTATGAAATATTGTAAAATGTATGTTTGTGCATGTGCACTTAGAATCGTTTGTAAAAAGATCGTTATTTGTACACCAGGTAACAAACCTACTGTAACGTTTGTTTAATTTATTTATAGTTTATTTATTTAAAACACTATCTCGAATGTCCGAAAATTCCCTCTTTATGACTCAACGGCTACGTACCGCTATTTCTGGTAGCTTCTCGAAGCGGTGCGTTTGTCTCTATATGGCCAGCGCTAGACTTCATACCGCAGGCAAGGAATAAACAAGGAAAAGAGTTGGCTTTCGCGTCACACTATTAAGGTCAGTCTGTAAGGCAGTTATTACCAATGGTTCTACTAAAAAACTAAATCATCTGTGAAAATAATGCATTGGCTATTGAGAAAGCAGGACATAAAAATAGAGGATCAATATGTGATAATTGAGGAACACCTGACAGGACTGAAACGTCACATGACAAGGAATTATGCGCTATTATACGTAGACAAAGATTACTCAAATAAGATTCAACCCAACAAAGATACCGGAGATACCGATTTCGGGAGAGTTTCTTAAGTAGCAATTCTTGACGGACTGTCAAAAGCTTTTAACAGATCAGTGTAGATCGTACCAACCAGGTAACCATTTTCAATTGATGAAATCAAGAAGCCTTGACAGCAGATTAGTGGTTGTCGAGCGACCTTGATAAAAGAAGCCTTGATAGATTGCCAGATTAGTTGTTGTCGAGCGAACTTGATAAAAGCCATCTTATTGAGGCGAGATATACTTTTTATACGCATAAAACATTTAATCTGTTTGTATGGATTCAAAAAGTTTTGGGATTATGGATATAATGGAAAAAATATACCTCTATAATTATTTATTTTACTTTATCATCTGTCTTATAAACAAAAATATAATCTTCTCATATATGACTTTTCTACTCAAAAATGGTGGAAACTACGAAAATAAAAATCGACAAAATTAGGTGTAATCATTGAGATAGAATAAAAAAGGAGATGCTATAGCAATACTAAAAGTGTTTGCATTATACTTTTACGTCATATGTAAAACTAGAACTAATGGAGCTAATCAGTTTATAAAATATATAATATATAAAAACATTTTAATTCAGTCAGTCTTCAAATATAAAATTATTAACTTCAAATTAATCAAAATACGACTAGAGTCGCCATTTTGATTACATTTTTTCTTCATTTGAAGTGCCTCTATTTGTAATATCGCAAAATAGCGTTTATGTCGCGTCTCTACCTGGTGAGTGTAATAGTGGTTTCACTAAAAAAAGAAGTATGTTACCGAATTATATAACTTTTCTGAAATTTTTGTAAAAACAAGTGTTTCATATCGTCGCCCTTCTCACGAAGTGGCATAAGTAGCAAATAGTAAATTTTACAAGAAAGCAATAAAACGAAAATATCTAATTCTTGGATCGACATGATATAGAGGGATTTAGAGTTTGCGCTTTCAAAATTTTATCATGGAATTCTAAGGCCTTGTTTTATTGTTTGGTAATTTCAAATTAGCCAAACTCCCTCGGGATTTAAAAAAAATTAAAATAGTCGGTTATGCCACTTCGTGACAAACAATTTTCTCACTTTATCAGATAGACCTTAATTAAGTATATTTTATTAATTTAGTTGTCATTGTTTTTAATGCAATATCATGTATGTTTTTTCTGTCTGTTATTATATTTAGTACATGTTTAGGAAATGACAAACAAGTAAAAAATATGTTTAATGTTTTTATTAAGAAAAATAAACATAAATGAAAACTAATGATTAAAAAGAGTTGAAATTGCGTTTAAAACTATCATTCTTCATGAGGTAATTCCTGATAATATTTCTGCAATTCAGGTAATCGAACCAAGGGCATTTGACTTTGACTTACGAAGATTAGATCAGAATACCTCTTGCTTGCTGGTTTTACTGGTTCTGTGTTGAGAGATTCTAATTTAATATCACAAATATTTTCTGTCGGTCTTTTTATTTCAATACTGTCATACTCTTTAGGGTAATGACTTACGTTTGAAAAAGAAATTAGAAGGCATGTCTCTTCGGGCCACAAATTCTATAATTTAAGTCCACTTTAAATTTTCCCCTGGCGCACTTTCTCTAATTGACAGAATTCTTATAGATTTTAACAGTTTCTTAAAATCCAAGAAATCTGAATTCTTCGTTGGAATGACGACCTAAGGTTGTTTTCTTCTGGCCAATAGAAAAATTGGGAACCGTTGTGATGGTTAAAAAGATCCCCAACGCCTATTATGGCAGTATTTATTGTACTATGAGCAGAGTCCCCCCTCACTCTGCCCATGGTTTGTTTTGAAAAACCTTGGTGATATTTTTTCACAAGTATCAAAAGATTTTTTTTTTGCCATATCAGCCATCCGAGTAGAAAAAGTAGTAATTTGGTCTTTATTCGTTAAATATTCCAAAGATTTATAAATACATGTAGAGATTTCAAAAGAATTTCTTTTACTCTTAGCTTCATTCAATGAAAAGCAAGGACATACTTTGGTACCAATATTGTAAAAAGTAAAGTTAAATGTTGCTAATCTAGTTTTGTAGTAAACAGCATTCTCTTTGCTTCTTGGCAAGTATATAACTTGTTGTAAATCGAAAACTACACAAATAAATTATTTGTTTTCTATTGTTTTTTTTTTTGTATACAGCTTTTAACTCGTTCTTTTTGCTTCTCTGCAATATGCCGTGTGTATCTACTTGTCTTTTAAATTTAATTTTACAGTAAGATCTCCTTGAAAGTAAGTTATATAGAGGGAACATTGATTCTTTTTTGGACTGTAGAAAGATAAATTTTGGTATTTAATTATTTTTCGGTACGTACTATAACTCGGTTTGTTTTTTCAAGATGCTCCAAAAACGTATTGTACATCTTGGGCAAGGATAAGTCAGAATGTAAGTACGTTTTTGAAATTGTCGATGTTCAGTCAAAAGATTCTACACAAAATAAACATAGCATCTGATCAGATAGGTTGCAGTTTATCCCGTGGATCACATATTATTTTACTTCACTAAGATACCCAAAGTCACTTAGAACAGTTCGTGAGGAAAATATTATAGGTTATTGCAGATAGGACACAGAAGTAATATGCTGTATTGCATGCACTATTAAGGTTGTAGATGTGCCACTATAGAGATAAAGTAGGTCAAGATTCACATACTTTGATTTTCTTTTACTATACGGAGAATGGTCGCACTGCGCAGCTTTCTGAGTGCCTTTTAAAAGGAGATAGAAAACTCCGCCATTTTGAACCTTCATTACGTGTTGCCTACATCTTGGCGCAATATTTTTAATAGGTGCGTTTTAATCATCCGCTTCTGCTTCGGAATTGTCGGTTTTCTTGTTTTAATCTGACAGGTTAAAACGACTAAACCGACAATTCCGGAAGCAGAAGAGGATGATCAAAACGCACCTGATAATTTGCTTGCTGCTGTCAGTGTCAGTGAATATTATTTTTGAAGTCACAGTTATTGCTAAAGAATCAGTTAGCTCACTCGGACCAGTTGAAAGTTCCAAAATAACATCCACTCCAGGGATACAAATTCGGGATACGCAGAAGACTGCTGTTTTATTATAGGCGGTTGTCATATATTGTATTATCCGAGTTGCACAGTGTATAAACTGAAACATTGAGATCAAAAGTGCCGACGCAGAGTGAGCGATCTGATTCTTTAGCTGTAAACTGTGTCACAGGGATCAAAATGGCCGCGCCCTATGTTGGGCGTGTCGGACCTCTCTCTTGCCTCGTATAGTAATCAAAGTATGTGTCAAGACTAGTTAATCCGCACAAAAAAACATTTTTTTTTTAATTTTTGTTGGTTAGGTCACTTCGTGATAAGGGCGACGATATATACCCAAATTTTTCCAAACTCTCAAATATGGAGCCTATACCTCAACACTAATCAGAAAAGTAAGTAGGTAGGTATTTATTGTTTTTTCTTTTTTTTTTTTAAATATGCTTTGTCTTTGTAAGAAATTCAGCTAATTTATTTCATTTCGCACATGCACACTACATTTTTCTACTTTTGACATTTTAGATATGTGCTGTTTTCAGACATGTCCGTTGGCCATGGCAGTGGACATTTCCGAGTTACCCATCACTAGCAAATAGTAATTAAAATGATATACAGAAAACAGAGAATATTTTACTTACGTAATTTTCATTATGGATATGTCTATGCAACTGCCTTCTCATGTACACGCATCCTAAAAATCTTTCCAAGGGCGCCAATTCGGGTACGGGCAAGCCTTGCGGATGTTGCGACGGACAACAAAGTATTTCTAAAGCTTCGTGAGTCAGTAGCGTGGGTACGGCGCCGGCCCACGATCTTTGCGGTAATACTCTCGATAAATGACTGCCCGTTTTAAGATCTGAATTCTGTTGCGGACTGTGCATAAGAGAATGACCGCCCGGAGACTGTCCGGGACGAGCTGGAGAAGGGCGAGGCATACCGGGTGAGCCAGGCCAATTTGTAGAAGCAGCAGGGGATGACATACTTTGGGAAGGAAATGGACTTCCGTCTGTGTGACCTGAAATTAAATATAATAAAATACCCAGCGTGGAATTAGCCAAAGGAGCAATAAGCTACACCAACAAAGAACAATACTCACCGGTAGATATAAAGCTGCTAACAGGCGAATGTCCAGGCAAATTGGTACTTTGTGGTCCTGGCGAAGAATTACTTAACAATCCTCCTGGACTTGCCAGTTGTGGGTTCAAGGGAGAGTTAGCCACCAGTCCTCCTGGACTTGGATGCGGCATTGGGCTTGGGTTGATGTTAGCTTGAAGTGAGGTAGGTGATGCTAGATTGAAAGAGGTAGCAGGGCTTGAACCGAAACTAGTATGTGTAGTTGTTTGGTTTATAGACGTGTGAGGACTAGCTGGAGTATGGGGATTAGAACCAGAAGGTGGGGTTAGAGGAGGATGAAAACGAAGTCCAGGTTCTCTTTGTCCCGCTGGTGATTGCGGACCTCTGTGATGACCTGGAATAACAAAGTTAGATTAAATTTAAAAAATAATTAACTGAACAACTTACTTAAAAACCCGCTACCCTCAACTTCCATTGGAGAAGGAGGATTGTCATCTTCTGATTGTGATCTCCTTCTAAAAACGGCTGTCTCGTCCACATATTTGGATAAGAAGGCTTTCAAACCTTGAGTGGGGGAAAATACATCGACTACATTACTTCTGTCGAACCTACTGTAAGCACCGTCTCTTAACGAAACTAAACCCGAACCTCTGATACGAAGTTCTAGACAGTACATGCCTTGATATGCCAATCGAATGAGGGAGCAAGATTGCGCCATGATGGTGAAAGTTTGTACAGGAACTTGTGGTCTCTTAAAATAAAAAAAAAATCAAAATAAATATGTACCAGAAAAATGTTACCTTTAATATTTTGTGAGTAGGAGTTGTGTCTGGGAAAATTTTAACGACCGTGGAAAATTAACCTGGGGAAACTATCAAATTTGATGTCAACCCCAAAATAGTAATTGGTTTTTAAATGTTTTGATTATTAAGTTTTTTTTTAACAACTGTCTTAATAATGTCATCTTAGTAATACAGCATCTATTATTAGTGGCAAACGTTATTAGTGGTTCGATTCGAACGCTGGAAAAAAGGTGTTTATCAAGCATGGCATTGCCAAAAGGACATTAACGAGACGTTATTAATGGTTTGACTCGAACGCTAGAAACGTTAATACAACTAAAATGATATACAGAATATTTAATAAAGAACATGCGCAGTAATATTGTTAAAAGGGCGTTAATGTATATCTTTGATGCAACATTTGAAATGTCGTATAGACGTCATATTTAATGAAAAACACATGTAACATGATCAAAAAAGCATGAACACATATCTTCGTTGTTATTAATAGCCTGATTCGTACGGGGTAAACGACATTCAATGTTAAATGTCATAGATGTAATAACGACAAAACATGCGCAGTAGTATCGACAAAAAGGCATTAATGATTATCTTCGTTATTGTTGTTCCAATTCATATGGGAATATGGGATAAGCAAGATTTTCAATGTGAAAAGTCATATAGCTGTCAAAATGATGACAAAAATATATGCAGTAACATTGTAAAGAGGGAATTACATCTAACTTCGTAAGAACTGATTGGTTTTTGGCTAAATTTGAAAGCATAATATCATATAACATGTTGATCGTAAATCTGTCATTCGGCGAGTCACAGAAAATCTATGGTGAACTAGACAAGTGATACGTCATATGAAAGGGTGGAACGTGAGTAGCACTTATTTAAAATCAGCTTCCACAACAGCCCTTTTAAATCACGAGAAATCGATAAAACAGGCTTAAATTGTATTGAAAGCAAAAAATACAGCTTAATTCATGATGATAATAGTATCGAAAAGCATAAAATCGTATATACCGTATTTTTTCTACGACCTATGATTTCAATGAGAAACCTAATATTATAGTAATTTATCTTAAACTTACAGTATTATGTATTCCCAACTGCGGTATAGTAGGCAATTTACTTATAGACAATAAAGGTTCATAAGTTTCATGTAAAAGTTGAATGATTTGGGCTAAATTTCTGTGCTCATTTAGATGAGATTCCAACTGTTCTTGAATCAAAGAATGGGCGTTCAGGGAATTGTTCGTAGCACCGAAAGCTAATTTAAACATTTTATCCGAATTGTTCCATGTTATAGAAACCATAGCACCTTTGTCTGATCCATAGCACAATATCAGTTTGGTATAGTTGTAAGATTTTATGCAAAACATATTTCCAAGAAAACTGTATTTATCTAAAACAAAAATTATTTTTAGAGTTATATTTTACAAAAAAAAAATGGTAAAATTACTAACCAATTTTTAAATATTCACTTAAATCATGTACAAGAGTATAAAGATGAACAATTTGGTTCCAATCGCTTATTAAAGAATCTGCAGTCTTCGAGGTATTGTCAATAGTTGCCATTTCATACTGAAAGTAAATTGGACGCCTTGAACCTAAAAAACGTTGAATTTTTTAAAATTATTAATAGGTTAATTATATTTATTTTACCTTGTTCCTTGGGATGTGTGCTGGATAATGGAGTTGAATAAAAAACAAATTCAACCATCCAGCTTTTTACCACTCCCTTACTTAAAACTCTAATGGATGCAGATAATAACCTCTTCATGAGTGCATTCCAAGCAGATGAGGTTCCAATCTCTTTCGTAGGTGTCGGTAGTTGGAATTTCCGTTTCGTCAACTGGAATAGGAGCAATGTAAGATAATAGTTATTTATATATGAAGTCACCAAAGTGATTCTTTATCGAACTAATCAATGAGTTTTAGAACCAGACCTGTGGCATTTGATTCAACTTGCAGACCTTGATGGAAAACGTTCCGTTTCGTCAACCATCCAGCTTTTTACCACTCCCTTACTTAAAACTCTAATGGATGCAGATAATAACCTCTTCATGAGTGCATTCCAAGCAGATGAGGTTCCAATCTCTTTCGTAGGTGTCGGTAGTTGGATGAGTTTTAGAACCAGACCTGTGGCATTTGATTCAACTTGCAGACCTTGATGGAAAACGTTCCGTTTCGTCAACTGGAATAGGAGCAATGTAAGATAATAGTTATTTATATACGAAGTCACCAAAGTGATTCTTTATCGAACTAATCTGAGATTATGGGCCAAGCGAGAGAAGCGAGCAAGGCGAGTAAGAGGCGAGTTCGATAAAGACACTTTCCTGATGTGGTCCATACAAACTTTTATCGCCAACCGTAAATTATTATAATTAATAAAAAAAGGAGATATTATAACATCACATTTCAGTATGACAAAGTAAACAAACATAAAAATAACAGCGAATACAAAACAAATTAGTTATAGACTATTTATGTCAGACGGTCATGGCTATGTTGATAAATATTAGGGGCAAACAAAATATTTGATTTTCACAGTGAGATAAAGTGTTTGTTTACTTCCTCAAATCGCTGCAATCTTACCTCATTTGCTAGGGTTACAAAAGGCAGCCTTTCATCACACATGGCTACAACGTGGGCTAATTCAGCTACAAAATAAGCAGGTTGTTTTGCTCTTCGTGTGGCAGACTCTTGTTTAGATCCACACTTCCTTTTCAAACTACCTGGTTCTGTGTGATCAGAATCTAAAGTACCTAAAACAAGACATTAAAGAAATCGGTTCTTTTACATATCACGAATTATTATTTCATTACCTGATACACTTGTGAATGGTCCATGTGTAGAAACAAATGTATCAAATTCTATTAAAGTTTGCACTTTAAGATACACCCTGGGGATTTCTGTCTCAATTGAGTCATCATCAGGATTATCTTCAATACTGGAATGCTTTACAACGGCCAAGTAAAATGAAAAATCAATTTCGCACGGATAATTTTCCAATTCTTTTAATTCTATTATCTAACAAATAAAATTACATTTTACAAAGACTTTTGTTAATAAGTTAAAAACAAAACTTACTAAGACAACGTTAGGATGTCTATGTAGCTGTACAAACATCTTGTGCTTTCCAATTTTTGTTATAGGATGATCACTTTGATGTAAAAATGGCAATTTTTCATAAGCTGTAGCTGGAAGATGTTGTAGAGTCTTTTCGCAACGCCTTTGTGTAATCCAATATCTAAAAGTCGAAAGTGAAAAGAAATCAGTTGACAAGACAAGAAAAAAAAAGTTATATGAAGATAAAATAGATAATTCAAAAGACGATAGTTAACGATTAAACAAATTCTTGGACAAAGAAAAATTGGAAACAAAAAAATTATATTTGATTATAGAAAAAAATTTTAATAAATACAACAATAATATGTTAGCTCTTAATTAATATTTTTAAATTTGCGCGCCGCGCCACTGACCAACGAGCGCTGTGAATGTTTTGGTCGAGACATGCTGAGTAAGCACGAGAGGGAGTTGGCCATAAGCGGCAATCGCCGGTTGTATTCTGACAATAAAATCAGTTTAATTGAATTATCGTGTTTAAATATAATTAAAAATGAGTCTGAGTGATCAAGTTTCGATAATCAAATATTTAAACTTAACAAATAGCATCAGAGATATAGTAGCAAATAGCATAGAAAATAAACAGTTTACTAGTCCTAGCCAAGAATCGTACATTACCGGAGAAAAATTAACAAAATTTAAAGAAATAACGTTAAATAATTTACAGAAATATGTGTTCTCCTTAAAAAATAAAAGTACTGGTGATAAACTGTCTGAATGTAAAATTATTAAAAGATTTTTTTGTGTCACAGGATTTCATCTAGGTGTTAAATTTGGTGAAATTGGCATTACAAAAGGTCGTTTCTCAGTGGACCTAAAAGTTAGCTTAATTATACTAATTGCTAGAGTGGTAACTCCAACTCACCCCGAAGAATGTTGACCTATAAATCTACCGGTCATCGATAAAGTAATTGAAATTATAATCAGGGATCAACTCCAAGCCTTTTTACTTTCCTGTCTATAGTCTATATATAGATAAGGAAAATATAGGAATCATGTTTTTTTCGACCTCAAGTTTGCGACGGATTTTTACGTTTTGGGGTCATCTGAATCCATTTTGACTATTTTTGCGATAGTGTATGTGTGTCTGTGAGTGTATACTCGATATTCACGAACGAATCCATCCTGCGGCGAAGTGATTAAATTTTGGGCATAGTCTGAACATGTAGGGGTACCTTATAGGGGGTCGTTTTTCTACTTTATGGAATATATGTTATTTACGCTTGGAGAAGAAAATTCTTCAAATAAAAGTTGCTTGTAATGTTATTCTCTATAATTTTTGTACTATACATAATTTTCCTAAAATGGGCCGTATTCGAGAAATTTAACAAAAAAAAAGCAAAATTCGAATTTTTAAGAAAATTGTTTGCGATATCATTCTCTATAATTTTTGTTCTATACATGATTTCTCTAAAATTTTAATTTTTCAGTATTTTCATTGGCAATGTATATAAAAAATGTTTCGAGTAAGATGTGCGTGTGGAAAATGTATGTATTTAGTTCATCCTCTAAACATTTACAGGGGTGATACAATAAGTTGTACAAAATAACCAGAAAAAGTCTGTAATAACGAGACAGGAAAGTAATGTATTCGACACATTAGATTTTTTGAAGAACATCGTCTGTTATAATGTTCAACAATCTTGTTTTCATGTTAATAAGAAAAATGGAAAAATATGGGGTAAGTCAGTAGCGCTGCATTTAACTATAGATCATTTTCACATGACAAGAATAGAAAATGCAACTTCGAGTAAAATATTAAGTGCTTTTTGGGGTTCCACGAGGAAGTATAATGAGACAATTTTGTTTATAATCTATATTAATGATTTGCAGAGTGTTAAAAAATTCGTTTATAAATTTATTTGCAGATGATACTGCCTATCTGTATTTAGGCAAAATTATGAAGAATTAAACCTTTTTATAACTGGTTATGTGAAAATTAGTTAAAACTAAATGATCTTGGGTACTTAAATTGTAACATTTTAAAATATACTAGGAGATTCCACGTCAAATCGATCACTTTTCATCCCAACCCTTTAGAGGAAACATTTTTTTCTACCCCACTAAAAACATTTATCAGAATTTATTCAAAATTTTTCACTGAACCCAAATTTTTTTTTTTAATTGCTCTTTTTTCAAGTACCCATAACGTTTACAAAACTTGACTAAAAGCGACGTGTGTTTTTTTTATAATAATTTTCAGAAATTAATACAAAAAAATTTTTCGATATCATGTTTCATGAAATTTTTCGGATTTTTGAGGAAAACCATCAATTTAACCAAACTCCTTTCAATTTAACTATAACTTTTTATATTTTTCTATCCCAGAATTTTATCAAAATAAAAAAGTCTGTCTTTGAAAAATTGAATGAAAATTTACAAAAAAGGTTATTTGAAAAAATCAAACTTTTTATTAGGTTGGGTGAAAATTAAAAAAAAAAATAAGTGTGATATATGTTTTTAGTGGGATAGAAAAAGTTTCAGCCAAACCAAAACTATTCGATCTGGCATGGAATGTCCCATATAAACAATGTTGAAATTGACATTGTTACTGAAATTAAATATTTAGTTATCATTGATCTACAACTAAACTTTACAAATTATTCTATTTGTGTAAAAAAACTAGGAAATAAAATTGCATTTTTCAGTCGAATTTCACAAAACTTGTCTCCTTATTTTAGTATATAACCTCACTTTAATTATTGTAACTCACTTTTGCTTGCATGTTCAAAAGAGCAGATAAACACTGCAGTATTAAGTGTATGAGAACAATTCCATCGTACCTTACAGAACTACTGACAACTGTAGAGTTTACAAGTAAATCCTTGTTAGTAGAACATTTATTATGTGAAGGGGAGGGTTCACGTTTCCTAGTGCAGGATATATTTGTCATTTATTTATCAGTGATAGAAAAATTCTACAGAACAAATTGTAAAATATTGTATTTCTTTTAATAGCTATTATGCTAAATACAATATTTATTTATATTTATTAGTATGGTTGCCAGACGCTTTTGGCGTGATTGCCATGCTTTTTGACTTGCCTGTACGCTTTTTATGCAAATTCCACGCTTTTTAAAAGCCGCAGAGGAATCGGATTTATACAAAAATAGAAATATCCGGGTAAAAGACCCCTCGTTTCTACGAACAATTAGCTAAGAACCTTTTTTTTTGAAATGTTTACAAAAAATAGACCTGATTATATAAAAATGCTCTACTCGTTTTACGAAAAATAAGGACCTATTATATAAACATGCTCTATCGTCACGGTTGCCACGCTTTTCACTTCCGGAAATGTGGCAACCCTATTTATTAGTGATATCAACTTTAAAAAATATACGTATGGAACTTTTTAGGTACTCACCTCAATTCAGATATTAAGATAGGTAACTTAGCATGGTCCCCGTTGAAGGCATTATTTAATTCTGGAATAAGTGGCGGATCATACTGTGGTACATGACACTGCAACATCCCTGTGTGAGTATCAACAGTGATTAACAACTGTTCAGCTCTTAAGCAAGGTTGCAGAATAGCAACTGATAATATTGCTGGGGAACCTTGAAGATTACCTAAAAAAAATGTGCACAATATTATTTCAATAATGTGTTTTTATAAATTTTACTTACATTCAACATCTTTCAGCATCCCTTGCAATTCTAATTTTATATCAGACAACCTACTTCTGGTTCTTACATAAATGGTGTACACCAGAAGTCTTTCCATTGACAAAACTTCTGACCTAATCGCTCTATCAGCTATTTCACTTTCCTAAAAATACGTTATTTAATCATAAATGGTTTCTATGAAGTTGCGAAATTAAACAAACCTTATTTCCAAGAGAAGGTACATGGACCACAGCCAAAGGTCTGGCTGGATCATGAACATCAACTTGTACAGATAGTCGATAGCCTAATTCCGATCTGAGATCTTTATTTGTAAGTTCTTTGCCTTTACTCGTCAGCTCTCTGAAAATTTTTATACATTTAATAAAAATTCAACTATTATTTGTAAGGGAATATGGGGTAGGTAGGATGCTTAAAAACTTATTTTTTTGCATTGGGAGTTGACAAAGTTGAAATATTGACAGCTTATTTAACGAAATAAATTAATAATAACACAAACTTCTGTTTAATAGTAAATATAGAAGTACACGCATATTAAACTGGTATAAAATACCCTTTGGACATACTAGAATACAACTGGTAGAAAAATATCTTGTAGTTAATTAACTAGCAATATTTAATGTGCTATGTAACTAGATCAAGAAATTATTTTTATATTAGTAATGTACCTACTTAAAAATTCAGCACAAAATTTGTTTTTTAAAACTTATTTTTCTACACGGTGTAATAAAAATATGGACAGTAAATTTAACCACAGTTTCTGCGGTCGAAAATAAGTCGATTTAACTTGGCTGTACCATTTAAAACGAAACAGGCGAAATATCTAATTCCAAGTTTATTTAAAAAAAATCGCTTGTACATGATTTGTCAAGGGGAGATTTTTTGTTACCATTTTTAACACTGCAACTCTAACTCTCTTGAGTGATGTTTTTTAATCAATATGGAATCAGATATTTTGTCCGTTTTGTTTTAAATGGTGGTAAACCCTATATAAAAAAATTAAGGGGTGTTAAAGTAGAAATTTTAGAAGTGATTTTGTGCTCTTTCTGTAAAATAAAAACATATTTTTATGAAAATATACATAAAATATACATAAAATGTAGTCAATGACATTTAAAATTATTTTAATTCTATAGGTTTTTAGAAGGGTTCCACAGTCCTTTGATCCCCTACTTTTTTAGACAATGAAATTTAGTTAAAAACAAGAGGCCACTAAATGTCTACATCTGTTTTGACATTTTTTTGTTTTGTATTTGTTTGTGGAAGCCTTAATTATAGTCCGTCAGATAGTGACAGGTTTAGGTGCCCCATTTTCGCATACAAGCCTCGGAGAGGGTTGAAAAGTACATCGATTTTAAGTAGAATGAAAGGAAATTTACGAGTGGCTCCTGGGGATAACACATGGAAAATTCGATTTTCCCTAACAAAAATGAAAGGCGATTTGTAGCACATATTTCCATGCAAGCCGTTTTCACTATATGATTAATTAATAGAACTAGGCTTTAATGTTGCAAGTGGCTAAAGGGTTGAAATAAGGGCGTAATCTTCTATGGAAAAATCGAGATTTTACCCGATTGTTCCACAAAAGCCCATCGAATTTATGAAATCGTACATCGTCCCTAGTCCGAAATACATATTTGACCCGAATGTATAAGTGCATTTTGGGTTCGGAAAATTTTTCTGATTAGGAAAATCGAATTTTCCATGCGTTATCCCCAAGAGCCACTCGTAAATTTTCTTTTATTCTACTCAACATCGATGTACTTTTCAACCCTCTTGTATGCAAAAATGGGGCACCTAAATCGGCCACTATCTGACAGTCTATTACCGAGTTATAGGAAGGTACTAGTGAAAAATACTTGCAATACAATATTTCTATTGATCTTAAATCACTGAATATGTATCCCTTGTATTATCGTTCGTCCATGAACTTGTAAAATAGTAAAAAAAAATTGAATTGGTGAGTGGAAAAAGGGAATAATTCCACTTTTGAAAGAAATTAAACTGATATAGCCATTTTACTTTTATTATAAAAAGAACGGAACTATTCCAGAAATAACCTTTTTCCACTCAAGGCACAATGTGGCGCAATGCATGTGATATGGCCACCATCTAAACGAGATCTAGGCAGAAGTTTTATATATTTTACAATGAAAGGTGTTATTCGTACAAAAGGGTGCAGTCTTTTGTCTGTAGTCTTTTTGCTGTGTCACACAAAGTCATATTCAGGCTCTCTTCGCTTCTAGCTGATCAGATTTTGACACCTGTTGACATAATAATATTAATAATACTCTCACTAATTCATCTCCTTACGAGTGAATTTCAACCCCTGAAGTTGACTGAACGACTTGTGTAGGGGAAGGGACGGCTATTATTATTATTTGCCGTGGCGCTCCGAGGCGACTTAAAGATGATTGATGGTGCCATTTGACAGGTGAGGAAAACCCGGAAAACCTCACCCACCATCATCGAGACGGTAACGCATGGCGATTTTATAATCTGCATGTCATATCAACAGAAATTGAATTTCTATCAATACGGTACACATCAAATCCTATAACGAACCATGCAATTAAATTAAAAATCCACAATGGTCTGGTGTAGGATTCAAAGTACCTTTGTCTCTGACCACAAACTTGCCTATAAATGAATATAAGCGCGTGAGGCCGATACGCCACCGAGAGGCAGACTCGGTAATCGAGGCAACATACTTCCTGCAGATATCATTGCGAAAATAGATGAGCATATACGATCTTTCCCTATGAAGACTTCGCATTATTCCACCAAGAATATCACCTACATGGAATCTGGCTTGACCGTTCTAAAAATAATGAACTTTTAGTGTTAAAATATCCATAATTATTAGAAAACAGAGTGAAGTATGAATATTATCTGAAATATTTTAGAGAAATCTTTGGGTATCGTTTCGGAAGACCTCAAGTAGATGTGTGTAGTACATGTGAGGATCGTAATGTAAAAATAGGATCCACAACATTAAACAAAAACGACAAAAGGGTGGCAGTGGCAGAACCAGAGATAACAAGAGAGATATAACTACTCATTCATAAAATAGAATATCTGTGATGCCAACATCAAATTAGTCAATTTGGCGATCAGGAGAGGAAAGACGTGATGTGTGAGGTAAGGGAGGGGATATACTGCAGGACTGAAGGCCGTAAACGTTTGTTAGTCGCAGCGGAGTTTAAATAAATTGCATTGGCGTACCCCAGAAACGGGATAAATTAAATTATTTAAAAATATTTTTTTTTTACCCCGTAAAATTTTTTGTATTTTAATATAGATATATTGAGCAGTAGTACAAATATGTTTTCTGCAAAATTCGTTGTTTTTAATTCATCAACGATATATAAATTTAGAAGACTTTTAAAGGCATCTTTTTTCACAGATGATAGGAATTTGTATATATTTCTAATATGCACCAGAGTTTAATCGGGCCGTATAAAAGTTATCTAAATAAAAAAATTGAAGCTAATTAAAAAATATACGAAAATAAATGAAATAATACTATTTCTATAAAATTTGCTGTCGTTAATTTATAAAAGTCACGAAAAAGTATGCTATTTCATTCATTTAAACTGATATATTTCATATCTATTCTAGGTAATTCATATTTTGGTCACCCAATACAATTCTTTTTAAAATGTTAAATAAGTGACAATTGTGTCAAACTAATCGTCAGTATATTCAGTTATTGAGATTAAATATACATTAAAATGAGTTATTTTTGTGTCGAATAGATAAATAGTAGCATTTCTATTTTTGTTTCGTCCACATTTTAAAATAAATTTAAAATTTAATCAAACTATATGAAACTAATTTAATTCCAAGTATTAAAACTAAAATCACAAATCTGGCGGTAAAGAAGTAGACGGCGTCTGTCTTTCACGCAAGAGACCCGAATTCAAATCTCGGCTGGGGACTATTTTTTTTTAAGTTTGTAGATTTTCGTTAGTGGGTCATAGAATAAAATATACTGTAAAACTCGAGTGGATTGCCCATATCCATTTTTGTTGTACAAACTACTATTTACTCAACAAACAAATTGCACAGGTTATCTAAATATTTTATAAAAAATGAACGTTATGGGGTCTATTCTGTAACAATTCCTTTATATTTAACGGCCTTTAAAAATATTTTCTTCTTTACTTCTGTCATTATTTAAACGGATTTTTAAAATTAATTAAAGAACTATCTTAAAGAAATCTGTTTAAGTAATGACAGAAGTAAATTAACGAATACGAAAATATTTTAAAGGCCGCCAATATTTTTAAAGGCCGTTAAATATAAAGGAATTTTTACAGAATAGACCCCTATTTCTTTTAAATTAGGTTTTAAGTGTTTATCAAAATAGTTCATGAAAAATTTACCTGAATGCAATAGCTAAAAATTACAAGTAAAATATTTATTTCTAATTTTTTTTATTTATGAAATTGATAGTAATGTTCTGAATTATTTGTAAAAAAAATGTACCTATTTAAAATTAAGTGCTAAATATTATTTTTGCTGTTTTGATAGAATAATGTTTATCCGCTAAAACAAGGGATTTCAAAGATCTAAAATATATATTTAGAGTTTTTGCTTCTTAATGTGATTTATTTATTTAATTGATCCTAATGTACTGAATTATTAGTAGGTACGAAATTTTTTTTTTCATTTTTTGATAAAATATTGCATGCTTTCTGATGTTTTGGTAAAAATGTTATCCGTGGAAACGCGAACCTTTAATCAAAGTCAACTGTAGTTTTCTCAAGATTTTTTTGTACTGTGAAATAACAATAATTTTTTGACATGCCTAGGTACTAAAAACAAAAGTTTTGCCAAATAACATTACTTACCTATGAAACTTTTTTCAATTAAATTGAATCACTTTAAAACCTGTTTTAAAGAGATTTAATTAAAAAATGCAGAATTTTTACACAAATTCGATTTTTACATAAGATTAACTAGGTACTTTGAGATTTTTATGAATATTCCCAGTACCAGTTTTAAAATTTCGCATCTTCTCCTGCTTTGTTAAGGCTAATTGACAACCATGGTTAATTCAAAACATTAATAATACTAATAATTTAAAAATATATAAGATACTTTTCGTAATTGGTACGTCTATAATAAGTAAATTCTAACCTATAAATACTCACATATGAAACGAAGAATTTGGGTCCAATTTGTCTTGTTTTTTACAAATTTTGCACTGTTTCACCATTTTTAAAGTTTGTATGTTAACAAAATAACAGAAAATCACTTTCACAAGAAAAAACTGAGAAAATCCGATGAACAATAACACTAAACAATCTCTACAACGTCAACTGTCAAAACAAGTTGATGGAATTATGAATGAATATTTTATATTCCTTGTCTAAGCTCGCAATAAACAACGTAATATGCCCCGCCTACAAAATACTAACTGTTGCCACATCTCGTAAAAAATACTTGATATCCAATATACCACTAACAAGATTTGGAATTTATTGAAAATAATTACATCTAATTTAGTGAAATTATATCTAATTTAGTTAAATTTGATATAACAAATGATTCAACATTTTTTGAGTTCAGTTGCAGTAAAATAGGTTAAATTATTTTAGCTTTTTTAATATATGTAAATAATTTTGTAAACAAAACGAGAATAATGAAATAGGCATATGACAACAGCGGATAATATACCCTAGTGTGTCCCTTAGAATATGTCTTATTCACGACAGCACGATATTTGTAAGTAACTACATCTCCTGTTATCTCTGGGCAGAACTCATGATCCATAAAAGAAGAGCAAAACATTTTTATATAAACTTCAAGAACGAAAAGATGTAATGGGCATTATCTTTGACTGTATGCAAAATTTACCGCTTCCACAGCTACCAATTCAAGAAATATTTTACTTAAGGAAGCTTTAGCTCAATGTAGTTTGTATCAATAATAGAAAACATAACACAAGTGTATTTTACACTTACCATAAGGGCCCTAATGAAGTATATATGCTCATTTATACTTGATTACATTGAAAAGTATATATAAATAAAAGAACTCCACATATTCAGTGATGGTTGTGGATGCCAAAATCGGAACCATACAGTATCAAGATTATTAATGGATCTCACAATGACCAATCGATTTAAGGTAATTCAGTAGTACTTTTCTGTAACACAGATATTTGCCATGCGATAGGAACTTTGGAACCATGAAAAGATCGTTTCGTAGACATGGCCGAATTTACTACCTCATCAATACTCGTCGTAAATGCAAAAACAATACAACATGCAATTTGTGTTATGAGAAATTAAAAATCGTGATGTTATAAACTTAAAGATTGGTGGGCGAGGTATTTTTAAAAGTCTTCACAAAGCCTTAGTTTGTCTAAATCAACATTTGCGATCAGTCAGTATCTCCACTTTATGCACAGGTCAAAAGAAAAGTAAAATAACAATTTTACTGCATAGCAGTTTATTGATGGACTTGTAAAAGCTACTTTCCGAATAGTAAAGGGTAATGAAGAAGTACTTCTTCCGATAATGGCTTATAATGGACACGTCCCTATCAAAAGTAAAAAACTGGCTAGACTTGGAACGATTGTTCATTATATTCCTGACGAACATAAAGATTTTTTTTACGGAAATATTAGCACGGCCAACTACTTAAGACAGCGAACAGAATGACGAAGAAAATGTTTAAAATACTTTTTTTTGTTCGGATATTTTTTCTAATAAAAGCATTAATCCAATTTTTTTTTTATTTGCTTGTGTATCAATGACTAGTTTCTTATTTTTAGGGTAGCAGCTAATTTCACTATTTAAATCATCTTAAGGGACCAGGAAAGAATGGTAAGTTTAAAAAATCACCACTTTATACACCCGGTAGAAAATTGACACACAAAAAGATAAGATAAATGTCTAGCCTGCCACTCTAAGCTAGCGTGAAAGAAGGTTCACACCTGAAACGACTGAAAGTCGGAAACATTTCCTGTCGCCCGTGCGGGAGTGTTCCTAACTGCACCACTGCGGAAATGCGCTGGTCTCTCCAGTTCAGAGGAGGTAGAGAGGAACATAACAGCCGTGCCCAGTGCGCCTCAATCGACGGAGCTATAGTCGGCCGTGGCCCTACCGCCACCAAACACGATCCCCCACGTGAATGTCCTGACGTCCTAGGAACCTCGGTCCCCTACGACCAGGAGACACCAACTATCCCCGCACCCAATGCAGCTAAGTCCCTCTTTTGGGATCTGGTGACAAAGGACAGGCAGTGGTCATTTGGTGGGCTCTTACCAGTCTGTTGGTGGATACTCGGGTGAACCTATTCTATCCGCCCGGTCCACAGGGCACCAACCAGACTATTGGTCACCCTCGGGATCTAACACTAACCTAACAAAAACCACAGTGTCTAGGTGGGTAGATAGATATGTATTCGCCTCGATAGAACAACCCCTACGACCACTATCCAAAGGTCAAAATCGAGTTTAGTTTGCACAAAAAATCCTCATACGAGATGGCTCCTAGAAACAACAAACAACTAAATCATCCAATGCTGTAAACCTCAACATTCCAAAAGAAGAAATGTAAATATTCTCCAAAATGTTGTGATCTAAAATTTGACTGTGTGAGTTTTGTCATAATAAGAAAACAGGAGAAATTATGTACGATTTCAGTGGCGTCCTGTTTTTAACTGAATTTTATTATCTAAAAAAAGTAGGGGGTCAAAGGGGTGTGGAACTTATAGAATAAAAAAAAATTAAAAGCTAATGACTTTATTTTAGTAGTGACTTTAACACCCTGTAACTTTTTTATTGTCCATTTTTTATGAAAGCAAGTTAGCTTAAATCGACTTATTTTTGACCCCCAAAAACTGTGTTAAATTTACTGTATATCTGTTTGTATAGGAAGGTATTAAAACTACTGAATATTAAATATATATTAAAATTACTGAATAAATAAATCTAAATTAAAGATTCATCTTTAAGTAGAATTAATTGCCCTTCATTTATTTAAAATATTTATTAAAAATTTAAAACATTTATAAAATTAAAAATCGTTATTCTATCACTAACCTCCAATAAGATACTGTTAAACATTTTCCAGGAATATACTCATCTACATGTATATGATCATCTAATCTGTCTCTCATCAGTCTCAATGTTTGAGAATATAACACTTCTAATTGTAACGATTGACAGAAGTAATGAAGACAGTTGTATACTTCTGTTAGTGGTTGGAGGTTATCCACTAAACGAGTTTGTATCAGTTGGTGGATATATTGTACTTGTAAAGAATGGACCAAAGCTTTACCATCTAAAAAAAAATAACATTAAAAATATCTAAAAGCATTTTTTTAATTCTTAACTGCAACTATTAAAAATTGAATTATAAGTCATATCCTTCCACTTTTTAAATAAAATAAAAGGTTTATTAATAAAATTAAATATTTAACATTTTTATTGAATTGATTTACCTCCTGTTTCCTTATCTCCCACCAAAATGTCAATTTCAAGAAGCCTCCATGGTATATTGGGACCATCACCCATTACTGTTAAAGATACTTCAAATTCATGTTGGACATGAAAAGTTACTCTGCCATTTTCAATCTACAAAGGAATCAAAAATACGTAATTATATAAAAAAATATTATAGGTAGGTAACAAGAAATCTTCCTAGATAAAATTGTAGAAAATAACAAAATAAAATTATTGTTAAATGAGTTGTTTATTGAAACATTTCACAATATTTCTGATAAAGCTATCTTCCAATTATTGCCACAAAAATAAACTTTACCAAAAATGAATGTAAATATAATAATTATATATTATGCATCATGATCAAACTTTAGAAAAATTGTTTTAAAAGGGTTTTTAATTTGACAAATACCTTAGAATTTTATATAACTTTAAAAAATTGTAAATATGTAAAAGCTGATTGAGATTAAACTTAGACTGCATTATTAGATGCAGAAAAAAATGCTTAAGCTACAATAAAGATTCATTTATATCGTTAGCAACCCAATATTTTCTTTAATTTTACAAACTTGATCCATCCTTGTTAATTATTGTTTTAAATTCCAAATTTGATCATGATTCTCAGTTATTATAATTGCAAAATAACTACAACTTATTTGCTCTTAATCTACTTACTATCTCTTCAAATATTTCAAATATACCTTTTTTTAATGTTAATGATTAAGCCATATTTGTTAATGAAGTGTTTTTATTCATTTTAAGGCATTTAAAGGGTCTACAAGCATACTAATTTTTTTTTACAAATTTTTATTGAACCCAAAATATAAGATTTTGTACATACTCCTCCTCTTATAGGTACATAAATTGAAACTAACATTAACAATCAAACATTGGGAAAAAGTATAACTTAAAAATTACAATGTAAAAAGTCATTCTATAGGAGTAACCTTTTTTTATTATTACTTATTATTCTTAAGACCATACAGAAAGAATTAATCACAGCTTAAGAATATAGAATGAATTTACTTAATCATTAAATACAGTTTTCTTTCTTGGCCCATATTGAAGCAAACAATTTAAACGATTTTTATAATTTATTTTATAAGTCTTAGATCTAGATGAATTAAGGAGCCTAACATACTCTAGTATCCTATTATAAATAGACACAGCTTTGATATACAAAGAAACAAGCCATTTTTGAGTTTATCTGGGGGATATTTAGGTTATTTTTAAATCTCGCATTTAAGTTATGTACCTCATGTAAATATGTAAAGTAAAAATCGGTAAAGTATTTTACCCAGAACTTCCCAAATTGTAAAACAAGGGAACTCCTAAGCACTTACATTTTAACAATTTAAAATTAAAACCACCTCTCTCCATTGATCTTTCTCTTGATCCCACCCAAACTGTCATTTCGCCTCCACTCGGTGTGCTTCATCATGTTCACAGTTATTGAACGATATTTATTGGCTGTTTTTAAATTGGTCCAGTTACACAAACCAAAAGAACACCTTTTAATATGTTCATTCAAGGCGGACCTTTATTGATTAAATATGAATTCTTTCAACGCCATTTTGATTTTTTTTACTTATTTAGGATCTGCAATCTTTGATTTCTAAAATACTTGAAAATAATTTTGGTTGAAAACTGTCGACTTTTAAAAATAAATGATTTTTTAAAACTGCTTACCCTGTATATAACTAACCGGAAGTATAACTGGTTTTGAGCCAGAAAGGAACCTTATGAGCATACAAAATTTGATCTATTTTTGAGCTATCGCTCCAACAGACAGACAGACAACTGACAGACCGAGGAAAACTGACAGACTTACATGATGGGAAACATGTTTCTATAATCTAGGGACCCTGAAATATTCTCGTAGGGTGACTGTTTCACGATAACAATACTTCCCTGTTATCAAGGGAAGTAAAAAAGGATGACTAACATAACACATCTCCAAAATTGACCTTTTAAACTCATATTTTCAGTTCATATTTCTTCTCACTTCAGCATATTCTCCTAAAATAACTCTTCTATGTATCAGTTTATCCACATATTTATTTTTGTATATATCACTGTTTGACAATAGTTTCACAAATTTGATTATATTCATTTTTTGCAAAGGGGATCAGTTCGGTATCAAATTGTCCTCAGGTTTAAAACTGTATATTTCCAAAAAACCTCATTGTTTGAATTGTATGAATTTTACCCATTGTGCATAATAATGTATATTCGTTTGTACCTATTTTATAAAAATAAATATGTACCCAACCTTTTTTTAAATAATTTGGAAATTGGGCCCACATACAAAAAAGTTTAGGAACCACTGCTCTAGAACAAATAGGAATGCTAATACAGTCTCCTAACCTTCCTAAAGAACAAATTATGGTTCTCATTCTTTTATTCCTACAGTGATAAGATCTGCTAATTGACTAAACAACTTAGTATTGATTATCTCTGTAACAGAATTTATATAGAGTCAGCAAATTAGGAGCTCGGCGCCGCTGAAGCTAAAGGTACCACAACACGCTCATCACAGCATCTGGGAGGGAACAAAAACACTTGAATTTTAATCGAGCGAATGCAAGCAAGTAGGCATTAGTGCCTGTACTGCCTGTTAAGTTGTTTTTCATTTTGTCCTTTATTTAATTAGATTTCGAACATTGTTTAGTTTTAAGAGATATTTAATAAAACATAAAACCATGTTAACCCATTAATAACCAGCCCATAAAAGAACTAAAATAATAATTTATTTATTTTATTTTCAATATAAAACTCACATTCACATTGTTTTATGTTAAATTAAAATATAAGTAAACTGAAATTAAAATGAAGCACTTAGGTACAAGCACCTGTATGTGCTAAAGACATAATTACATTTATATAACTTTTATGAAAATACCTTCATTAGAATAAAAAAATGTAAAAAACATTTTTTAAACATATACTTTACAAAAAAAAAACAGGGTGTTGCGTAAACGCATCACCAGTCAATGATATGAACTACTTATGATACATTTGGAAGCAGCCAACGTGAATGTAAATGTTACATTTTCCACATGTATAAATTGTCTGGCTATGACATAGACATCTTCTTCGAATTTCCGTCTTCTGTGGAGTATGGGATATCACATATAACGGATTTGCTAATTTTTTCTTTGCGGTATTTCTACTTTTAGCAAGCAGAAAACAATGTATGATCTAAATTTTAGCTGCTACATTTTTTAACGTGTGTAATGTTATAAATTATCCATGAATTTTCTATAATGTTGTCGACTGTGTTTCTGAATAAGGACCCCTACCATTTTTTTCCTTTTATACTTATTCTATAATTGGTTACTCCATTGTCGTCCTATGTATAAATTATACTTGGCCACAACATTTGGTTGTGGTACTTGACACCCTTTTTTTGTCTATTACATCTGTTAGTTGTTTTTTCAGTAAATGTATGATAGTGTGTAAACCTAAGAGGTGGACGAAGTTATAAAATTTGCCCTTCTCAGAATCAAACTCTTTTGGTCAATACACCTAAGTACAGGAAATATTTTATTTCCAATGATAAATAAGAATAGTTGAATAAAATTTATGAAAACCTGTACTTGAGAATGTATTTCTGGACTGAACTACTATTTGACCGGTGATGCGTTCACTCAACACTTAACTTTGAACTTTATTAGCTATATATAGTGTTTCTTATAAATTGAAAATTTGTATGAAAGCCTTTATTTTTATCATTTTATTAAGTAGAGAATAGAAGAAAATATTTTAAATTTGTTTGAAATAAAAACTATGCCTATTTGAAAATTGCTTGTCCAACAATGTAAATTTCAATCATTTTTACAAAAAAATATTTTATAAGAATATGAAAAATTTCAAAATTTTAACGTTTTTTAGTTGCTGGTATTGTTAATATATTGAAAAAATTAGAACTTGTCATAAATAAATAATAAAGATACTTTAAAAAAATATAATTTGAGGTGTTGCGTAAACGCATCACTGGTCAAAGATGGATTAACACGTGTTTTGTGAAGTGGCTATCCAGGGTGTTATGGTATATAGCGTGATAAATCATTTAAAAACCATAATTTTTAAGTTAATTCATTTAACTTCTAACAATACAGTTATGTATATGTGAGCTTTAGATTTTTCATTAATTAATTACAGTAATGTATGAATAATCTGAACAGAAAGTGTGGATACCCTTTTCATATAAAACTCATAACAAATTATATATACAATCCGAACATGTTTGTTTAGATACCTCTCTTAATTATATAAATACATTCCCACTTCCAACCACAAAAAAAAATATACTGAATGGCTATAAAAACCTTTATGTACATAAGTACATATGAATTACAGAGTAGTTCAGATTACGGAATTTGGGATATTATTGATATTATTTTATGCAATTTTGTAGTTTGTATTAAAGGGGTCCAGATTATCCTTACATTACTGTAATATGTATATATTTTAAAATAATTTATTTAGGATTATATTATTATTTAATGACTGTGATACGCATTCTGTATTATCGTATTGTTTTAGTGGGCTCTGGCCAATAAATAAACAAAAATTTAAAAAATAAAACATTTTGCTCACTTTCAAATTTTTCATCTGAGGCAACAAATTCCCTGTAACCAGCCTGTGTTGTATGACCTGATTTAATCTTAAAAGTGTGTTCCTTTTCTCTGATGCAGTTATGGGATCTGGTGGCACAATCTTCTCCCTAATACAAGCAGGCAATCTACCATAAGTACCAGTGGTTAGAACTTCAACAGCAGCAGGAATATGAAAATTTGGAACTCTTGCTTGCACTAGGGTTTCCCTTGCCATTCTAGCTAACATATCAGCTGTTTCCACAAAAAGGAGAGATTGTTTATCCAAAAAGTTCATTATTCTCTAAAAAAGAAAAATAAAATATTTTAATCGATAATTTAATTTTTAATTATGAACTTACAGCCGATTTTTCAACTTTTGAAGCACTGTTGGCCCACTTTGTGAGTGCTAGAAGTCGTACAAAAAGCTGTCTTGTTCTGGTGGCAAAATTGTATATTTCAATTTTTCTCTCCATATCAGTTTTTCGAGGTAGTCTAAAGAAAAACAAATTAGGCTTTTAATTTTTGTTCTTTTCCATTATATAATGGAAATTATACCGTTCATAACTTCAGTGGTTGACTGTGTTATGTAAATTCAAAAAATACCTAAATAAAACTTATTAACTTACAACTCTGCTAAAACCGTAAGTTCATGGTAAGTACGTTGTACGATGAAGTCAATAAGAAGGGCCAGCGACATCATACCTCCTCGATTACCTTCTTGGGGCCCCGCTATGTTGTTTTGGGTCACTGCGTTGGAAACAGGTGTCTGAAGCCCCTCCAAAGGTATGGGAGCCATTGTGTCTAAATACTCCGTTTCTTAGATAAGACAGTAACAATTTGTTTGCATAAAAAGTTTCTATATCACATTTTTGACTTATATAAATTAAAGTAAAAATATTTGATGAAGCAACAAACTACACTTGACAGATGTCAGAGTCAGATGTATGACATATGACAACATTGACAACGAACTGGCAATTGACAATATTGACATTGACAATAGTTCGTTCAACGCGCCCATCCCTATCTTATGGTAGAATGTTCGATCATGTATCATGATCGAATGGTAAAATCCTATTCAAAATCTCAAAAGATCCATATTTTAGATTATGTCCATGCCTATCAGACATATGATACTATTTGGTATGAACTATTAAAGTGTTGGAACCCATCTTGTGTAATTTAAATCGAATATTGAGAACAGCTTTTAATTTTTTTTAAATTATTTACGTGTGCTAAACATTGCTCCGAACGTGCTCCGATCAAAATATAAACGGAATCAGGATAGCCAACAGTCACGAACAGCCAACAGCACTGACTGGGATTCCATCTTTCAATACGACACGTGTTGAGACGACTATCTTCGTTCCACTGAATGAGATTTGTATATAATGTCTCTCTTTATTTGATTCGTTACGTGTTGAGTAGAGAGAGACATTACATAAGAATCACATTCTGTCGAACGAAGATAGAATCGCACTGCGATTGTGCTTTTAGCATAGATAAATTAATAATTAAATTATCTATCTTTAGTCTTTGTTTTGTGATTTTATATGCCTTCAACTTTTAGCGTCTTGTTTTTAGATTTTTACCTATATATTACAGATATATTTCTCTTTTTACTTTTCTATGTGTATACAGATAAGGAAAGTATAGGAATCATGATTTTTTCCTTGAGTTTTCGACGGATTTTTACGTTTTGGGGTCCCCTGAATCCGTTTTGACTATTTTCGCGATGATGTCTGTGTGTCTGTATCCACTATAACTCATGAATGGATATAAAGACAAACACCAAATTTCAAACTTAAGCTTTTATTCCGGCCTGCGGTGAACTGATTAGATTTTGGACAGAGTCGGAACATCTGGGAGGGGGATACTTTATAGGGGAGCATTTTTATATTTTATGAAATATATATTGGAGAAGAAAAATCTTCAAATAAAAGTTACTTTTTATATTCTCTATAATTTCTATATAAAATTTTCCTATTCGAGAAATTTGACAAAATGTACAAAAAATTAATTTTTAGGAAAATTGTTCAAATTAAAGTTATTTGTGATATAATTAATTCTCTATAATTCTTGTCCTAAACATAATTTCTCTACAATGGACCGTATTCGAGATATTTGAGAAAAAGTTTAAATCTCGAATTTTGAAGAAAACTCAAAACCGGATAAAAAGTAAAACAATAAATTTTAAACTTTATTCCGGCCTGAGGTGAACTTATTAGATTTTGGGCAGAGTCAGAACATCTGAGGGGTACTTTATAGGGGGTCGTTTTTATAATTTGTGACATATATCCGTTATTTACGTTTGAAGAAAAAAATTCTTCTAATTATTCTCTACATTTTTTGCACCATACAAAATTTTCTAAAATGGTCCGTAATCGTATAATTTGGCAAAATGTGCAAAATCTGATTTTTAAGAAAATTGTCAAACTAATTAAAATATTGGAGGAAAAGTGTACCATTTTAATTTTTCACTATTTTTGTACGCAATGAATTTATATAAAAAAATGTTTCGATTAAGAAGTTATGTGGAAAATGTATATATTTAGTTTATCCTCTAAACATTTACAGAGGTGCTACAATAGGTTGTACAAAATAACCGGAAAAAGCCTGTAATAACTAGATAGGAAAGTCATGTGTTGGACACATCAGATTTTTTTATTTTCTAATATTATTATCTATAATTTTTGTTCTATATAAAATTTTCCTAAAAAGGTGCGTATTCGAGAAATTTGACAAAATGTAAAAATTCAAATGTTTAGGAAAATTGTTCAAATAAAAGTTGTTTGTGATATCATTCTCTATAATTCTTGTCCTATACCTACATAATTTCTCTAAAATTGACTGTATTCGGATATTTATGAAAAAAATGTAAATTTCGAATTTTGAAGAAAACTCCAAAACAGAAAAATACCAAATTTTAAATTTAGTCTTTATTAATCCATCCTGCAGTAAAATGATAAAATTTTGGACATAGTCGGAAAATCTGGGGGGGTCGTTTCTCAACTTTATGGAATATATGTTATTTACGCTTGGAGAAGAAATTTCTTCAAATAAAAGTGGCTTATTGTAATGTTATTCTCTATAATTTTTGTCCTATACATAATTTTCTAAAAATGATCTGTATTTGAGAAATTTGACAAAAACTACAAAATTCTAATTTTTAAGAAAATTGTTAAACTTGGTTTGCTATGTCGATATCTATAATGTTCGTTTCATACATGATTTCTCTAAAACGGACTGAAATCGAAAAATTTGAAGAAAATTTTAATAACCGAAAAAAGCATGTAATCTAGACCGGAAATTCATGTGTTCACATCAGATTTTGATCAGTGCTGTTGGAAAACTAATAGAAAAAGTAATATATCTTCAAATTATTGATTATTTAGAGGGGAACAGTTTGATAAGTAATGTGCAATCAGGATTCCATAGTAAACACAACTGCTTTACAGTTTGTTTTGCATGACTGGAAGTTATCAATTGAAAATAATTTGGTTACACTGGTAGCCCAATCGGATTAGTATTTTCGATTCTGAAAAATTCGAAGCAGCAATTTTCCTTCGGAATTCGTTGGAGGGGGTCTCTGGTAGTCTAAATTCAAAAAGTTGGGATTCCAAAGTTGTCGTTACCTCCGCCATCTTGATTTAAAGGGTTATTTTTTGTTTCTTGAATAACTCATTTATTTTCAATTTTACACGGAAAATAGTTTTTACAAAAGTTATTTAAAATTAAATTTCCTACAATTCTGCTTTTTTTTTGTACGATCGATTTTTTTCGATTTATACCCGAAAAGAGGGGGTGAATTTTTGGTTATAGAATAACTCGTTTATTTTCAATTTTACGAGAAAAATTATAAACAAAGTTGTTTAAAATTGAATTTCCTACAATTCTGTTTTTTTTTTTGTACGATCGATTTTTTTGTATTTATCCCTGAGAAGAGTGGGGGTGAACCTAAGTATTGTATTGTCACGTTTATTATTGATGTTGTACCATTATTTTTTCTGTTTTTTTTTTGCTGATTTTCAAAAATGTTATTTGGTACAATTATGATTCCGATTTTTTCTAAGAGTTTACCCCCACTCTTCTCAGGGATAAATACAAAAAAATCGAGCGTACAAAAAAAACAGAATTGTAGGAAATTTAATTTTAAACAACTTTGTTTATAACAATTTTTCTCGTAAAATTGAAAATAAACGAGTTATTCTATAACCAAAAATTCACCCCTTCTTTTCGGGTATAAATCGAAAAAAATCGATCGTACAAAAAAAAAGCAGAATTGTAGGAAATTTAATTTTAAACAACTTTGTTTATAACAATTTTTCTTGTAAAATTGAAAATAAACGGGTTATTCTATAACCAAAAATTCACCCCCTCTTTTCGGGTAGGTATAAATCGAAAAAAATCGATCGTACAAAAAAAAGCAGAATTGTAGGAAATTTAATTTTAAATAACTTTTGTAAAAACTATTTTCCGTGTAAAATTGAAAATAAATGAGTTATTCAAGATACAAAAAATAACCATTTAAATCAAGATGGCGGAGGTAACGACAACTTTGGAATCTTTTTGAATTTAGACTACCAGAGACCCCCTCCAACGAATTCCGAAGGAAAATTGCTGCTTCGAATTTTTCAGAATCTCAAGCCTGTTCTTCACCTAATCCGATTGGGCTATGGCGGTATTTTTAGATTTACAGAGGGCATTTGAGACTATTAATAGGGGTAGATTATTAATGAAATTAAGAGCTATAGGTTTGGGGGGTTGTGCACTGGACTGATTGGGTCATTATAAGGAAAATAGGAAACAGAAGGTTAAGGTAAATAATTGTATACTATAGAGAATAATATGGGGGTACCACAGGGTAGTGTTCTAGGTCCACTACTGTTTTTAATTTATATTAATGACATTGCTGGTGTAGTCGAAAGATGCTCAATACACTTATTTGCAGATGATACACTAATATATTTTACCCATGAAGACACTCTGAAACTTGTTTTAAAAAAATTAATAGTTCTATAAGTAAAATATATGATTATTGTAACGGAAACTCATTGAAAATAAATTACGAAAAGACAAAGAGGATGTTAATTGGGGGCACTGGAAAATTAAATGTAGCATCACAGTGTGTTTCTGTTGATGGAATAAAGTTTCAGTGAGTTGAAAAATTTAAATATCTAGAGGTCATGGTTGATACAAATTTACAATTTAAGGAACATGTTAATAACGTGATCAAAAGCATATCTTTTAAAATAAACTATTTGAGGCGCTGTTCTCCACATTTCAGCAAATGGGCTAAAATAATAATTTATAATACTCTATTACCTCATTTTAATTATTGTGCCACTATACTGTATTTGCTCAACCAGAATGAGTTGCAACGATTGCAAAAGTTGCAGAATAGAGGTCTGAGGATAATACTGAGCTGTTCGAGATTGGAACCAATCAATTCCATGTTGAATGTGCTTCAGTGGTTGCCTGTTAAACAATATTTGCTATACTATTCCCTGCTTCTTATATTAAAAATTAAATCAGGAATCTCCCCAGTATATTTTCAAAATATTTTAAGTTATAATCAGGATGTTCATGAACATAATACAAGTAATAAGAAAAATTTATAAGGCCACGAAAAAATGTACACAAAATTCAGTGTTTTTTAAAGGTGTACAGGCTTTTAATAATTTGCCTGAAGATATTAAATGTTCTTCAAACGCCGCAATATTGACGTTTTTTTTTCTTTTATGTTTTGTATAGTTGACATGTAAGTGTACTGTATCTTATGTATTTTTTATTGTATTTTAAATGTATGTTGATTCTATATTTATGTATTGACATGTAAAAAATAGTTTTTTGACTAAATAAACGATTTTATATATTGGCAATAAAATTACGCTTTTTGATCAAAAACTTCTAGTTTTGAGTATATTATTTGATATAAGTTAAATATTCTTCATCAAAGTAAAAAATTCAAATGTTATATCTTAGCACCTGACATAAATTTTTTGAATATCTTATATACCTATGCTTTATTATTGAAAATTAAAAATTTGTACATATATATTTTATCTTAAGTAGCTATTACAATAAGAGGCTTTGTAAATAATCTTCCATTTCCTCTTCCCTGGATTTTTGTTCAACAGGTTTGTGATTTTCCCAGGGCGACTCATCTTTAGTTTTTTCTTGTGACTCTTGTGGTACATTTTCAAATTGGTGTATATTGTTCTGTGAAGTATCTTTTGTGTTGGAACAACAAGCTTCATCATTAATATCTGTTTCTTTAGACTTTGGTATTGATTGTTTCTTTTTTAACCTTTTTACTTCCTTCTTCTTAGTGTGATGATTTAATTTTTTAGAGCACTCTGGACATAATCCTAAAAAAAAATCTAAAATGAATGTTTCAACTTAAATATAACTATAAAAACAAAGGAAAAAGAGAAAAACTCAATGACCCTGACACAGAAATGTCATGCGTCTGTTTCTCTTCTGAAAGCAACTACTCCTGTGACTAATACCACAATAGGCATTGCATTAAAGCAGAGATAGAAAATAATTTTCAACAGTCCAAATATAACTGGCTTCATATAATATATATACTCATAAAAATCTGATCAAATAATAGACAATTTGTTTAAACATCCACACCAGACCAGCTATGAGGAAAAATGTTTTGTCCTTTATTGCAAAGGTACTTCATATGACTTGACCACTTAATCAACCAAACATAAAAAAGTCCAGTAATTTACAGAACCGACAAAAACTTACTAATCTTAACTAAGGCATTTTTCTTTTCACCATGTTCCATGTAACCAAAATTGACTTCCCAAGTACGTAAATCGTTTTCCTCATTGCACTTCTTGTTACCACATATGAATTGTCCTTTTCCGCTGACAACTTCCTTCTCTATCCTCCATCTTAGGGCAATCTTGCAAACTCTTATCAATTAGTCAAACATTTATATAAGATCTATAGAAATATTACCTTGTTTTCTTTATATCTACTTAGATCCCCTATACAATATTCTTTAAACAATTTATTGTAATATCTCTTGGCGAATTGCTGTTCCCATGTATCTGCTGGATCATCTTCTTCCCATAGAAACTTGTGATTTTCAACAATTACATGGTAGTCATTTCTATCTTTTGATGTGTCTCTTTTCAAAAGAGAGGTATCACCTGGTTTTTTCAATACATATTCGTTTATTATAAGCTTGTGAATATCATAAGGATTTAGATAACGCATTTGTGTTCTTAAAGTAGTCATATTTAATTAAAATTATCCCTGTAACAAAAATATTTGAATTCCTCATAACACTCAAATGCCTATTATATATTGTTAGAAATACTGCACACATAATATACTGATACCTACCTCTATTTTATAATTGAAATTCAACAAGGCCTTTGGAGTTGGATAGTTTCGACTTTTTGGTACTTTTTGTAATAGTTGTATCATAGAAAAATAAAAAGAGAAGGTTTGATTAAATGGCGGGACTTGTTGCCTTGTTGGTAGTTGAACCGTAAGCGCTTAGCGCGCTGCTATCAGTAAATTCAAACCAGTTTTACACCCATAAAAAAATATGTTTTCAAAAATAATGACAAAGAAATCAATCATTTTACTGATTTACCCCTTGAAATTTCACTTTAATATAATGTGTGATCAAATACAGGGATAATCGTTAATAAATTTAAAGTTAAAGCTAAATTTAAATATTATTAGATGGTGTAAATCTGGCTTTGAAAATAAATTAGGTTATGTTGCTATAAATATGTCAGCTTGAAGCTTGATATTATTTTCATTTTCAAATATATTTTTTTCAAATGTAGGTGAGTAAATTGTATTAAGTGTAAGTTAGATTTAACTAATTTTACTATAGAGAGGTTCTTAAGAAAATCAGTAACTTCTGATTCATTTAAATTTTCTCACAAAACTAACAAGAAATTTTATGTTTTTCCTGCTATTATTACTCTAGAGATACATGGATCAACATTTTAAACATTTGCGGTTAAAAAAATAAAAGGAGTTGTGAGCGAAATGTGTGAAGCCAATTTACAAACAAATATTGTAGAACCGGAGATAGAACCTCATCCTAGTTTTACTCATAAAGACCATGATGAAAAAAGGCGAATGATTTGTGCTCAAAAAGTTATTGTTCAATTTTTGGGTGATATTCATTATTATATTTATCAAGTAATACCCAAATATCTTCAAAAACTTATATGCTATTTAGGTCAACTTGTTAATTTTTGCATAGTTCACCTATTAAGATCATAAATCAGATGTTTTCTATTTTTATTGAAATTTTTATACCTTTTATTGCAAGAAAAATGTAAGAATTTAAAAAAGTTACGACTCTGTTAATTTTTAATTTTAAGATACACACTGCACCTTTATTTTTGTTTTGTTTTAGATATTCCTGGGTATGGAGATTTTTGGAATGTGCATAAATGTGTTTCTTAATTAGGGTGAATTTCAAAGCCCACCTGTATTGAAGCTGGAGGCTTATTGTAACCGAAATAGGCATTACAACTATTCTTGATTGAAATAGATGGGAAATGTCTTAAAGGGACAATACGTATAAGAATTAGAATGATTTGTCCTTGGATTAATAAGGGATATTTAAAACATTAAAACAATTGTGTTTATAACTAGTTTGACTTTTCATAAAAACTATACCTGGTTTTTTTAATAATAAAAACATTGTGATGTGCTATGCTGGTTATCGTATTATATTTCTATTTTTCAGTAATTTAGTGTGTGATATAGTGCTTGTTATGTTCAAAATATGCAGTTAGAAGATAATGAGACACATGTAATTACATGGTAATTCTAAATAAATAAAACTTGTTAAAAATGTGTTTTATTTTTCAACTAATTTTATTTTTCAGTTAAAACAAGTGACATTTTCCATTTTTCAACATTTACCTACAACAAAAATTCACTAAACTTGTTGTTTGTTTAGTAGTTGTAAGTAAAAGTTGTCAAATAAGAAAATGTTACTTCAAATATCTAAAATATCAAGCCCGCCAATTTTTAAATCGCTTTAATTAGTAGTGTTCTACTTTATCGACTGAAACTGACAGGTGTAGTTCAACCGTAAGCGCTTAGCGCGCTACTGTCGAGGTCAAACAAACGTTACCAACTATTTACATGGAATCCGACCCCCGTGAGTTGTATTTTTAAACTTGACAAAACATATTATGTCACATGTCACCATCCATCCATCCATTGCGTTCGATATGCCAAGTTCCTTTAACTCCTTTAACACTTTTTACTCCAAACGACCCTTTTAGCGTTCGGTTTAGTCCGATTAGTGTCAGTTTAACACGCTTAAATGTCATTTAAAAGCATCCTATCCAATGAACTGGAGTGGGGTAGAATGCTTGTCAAAAGGCTTGACATGCGACTCTATGGGCAAAGACAGGTTATTTTTCATCTCACTCGAGAGTATTTATAACAACCATTTTCTATTTCACTTTGTTATTGCCTGATCCACCAGCATGTGGATTGAACAATAACAAAGTGAAACAGAAAATGGTTATTATAAATACTCCCGAGTGAGATGAGAAATAAAAATGGCTGCGCCCATAGAGTCGCATATTGTTCTATTGATACAATATGCACATTGGCTTTCTACCCCACTCCAGTTCATTGATCCTATCACCCTAAAGGCGAGTTCGGATAATCAGGGGCTTTTAAATGACATTTAAGCGTGTTAAACTGTCACTAATCGGACTAAACCGATCGCTAAAAGGGTCGTTTGGAGTAAAAAGTGTTAAAGGAGTTAAAGGAACTTGGCAGACCGAACGCAATGTATAAAACTCCGCTTTTGTCCCGTTCCAGCCCCTGACTATACGAACTCGCCTATCGTATGATGACATCATGACATCCAAATCAATTCGTGTGATACGAGGATTACTCAATATATTTTGAGACATTTGAAATACAGGAAACTAGTATTTATTTATGATCGCACTATATGGAAGGCAGACAAAAACACACGACCTTCAGGAGGAGAAAATAGCTCAATATGCATAGTAACCACGGTAAACACAAAATGCACGGCCAAGAGAACGCACAAATTTTATACTAGTACTTATTTACACGCATATTTACCTGTGTAAGTGGTCGTAGGTAAAGTATAATACGTAATGCTTATTGTAAAGCGTAAAGCAATTATGTTCACGTGAAGTTACTTTTCCATTTGTGCGTAAATAGCAGAGCTGAGTAATTCATAGTGAAAAAGTAATTAATAATTACAATTACTCTTGTTTCATGTAATTTGTAATTGTATTTAAGTACTTTTTTCTCAAAGTAATTTGGAATTGTAATTGCCGCAAAATATGTGGGGGGATTGTACTTTGTAATTATATTAATTTATATTATTTAAATTGTCTAAATACAATTACTGGTCATAGGCACAATTACTTTTCGAATTACATGTAATTACTTTTAGAATTACAATCACTTTTTCAATTACAATTACTTTTCCAATTACAATTACATTTAAACAAGTACAATTACATTTTTTAATTTCAATTACTTTTAAATGCGTGTTTATGAGATACAAGTGATATAAAAACAAGAAATTTCCTATTCGAACCGGTCACTAGAGCTCGGATTCACATCCGTATCATTTGTTTGAAAACATTTGAGGAGAGCGTTGTGCCGTGAAGCAGTGAAATTGTTCAATCCAAAATAATAACAGTAGTAAGGGCAAGTAGATGCAGATATCCTTATTTTTAAGACGTATTTTGTATTTATATTATTATAAACATAATTTAAGTTGCATAAACATTATAAACTAAGGAATTATATTATGAAGTGGTGCAAATAGCAGTTTTTATGGGGTAAATACTAAAAACTACTTATTTAAGTTGCGTAGGCATTTCTGATTATTATTCTAGTTTTCTACATTGAAATGAAGGATTAAATATTTTAATAAATGTATTCTAAGTATTTGATTTTAACGTAGTATAAATGCAATATTTTAATTAAATTAATAGCACTTGTAACAGAATATAAATATATTTTATGTTAAAATAAATTATTTGATGATAACCAAATTTGAGTAAAATTTTTATTTCAACTGTCATATATATCATTCCTCTCCCCTACGGCAATCTAACCAATACAATTTAAATAGGGAAAGTACCAAGAATGACACATCGTCGGAAAGGTAATTTTATAGGGAATTCAGCAATATGACGACTGTTCATTGCGTTCCTTTTAATTTTAGTGCCCTCTAGCGGGATAAAAAATTATTACCTATGGTAAAGTGTGACACTTCATTTAAAAGCTAATTTTATTAGTACTACAACCAAATATATTATAAATAAAGACTTTTTTGATTTCAAGACTCGCTTTTTTGGTAATCTCGCCCTTTGTCTTTTCCCTTAAGTTAAGAAGACCTTAAATGGTACAGAAAATAATACACTTAGGGCTGGTTGTATGAAGCTTACTTAAAATTAAGCTCAGTTTTAGGTGATGTCAATTTCCGATGCTATATATGTGCAGTCTAATGTTTGGGGAAACAAGCCCTAAGTGCTAAATTGTGTTTAGACTGTACCTATGCCATACAAAATTTGTCATCTATCACCTCAAACCGAGTTTAACTTTAAGTAAGATTTATACAACCCGCCCTTAAGATATATTTAATTTTAAGGAATCCTTAAGAAAGTCGTTGCAAACAGAGCTGTTAGTTTGACACTTATCTGAATTATCTATTTAAAAATTTTATTTGTACCGGTCCGGTTGGTTCATGGTTCCTTAATTCTATCATAATTTGATGTTTTATCGACAAAGTAATTATAAAAGTAATTGATAATTCATTTTTTCATGTAATTGTAATTAAATCAATATAATTCCTATTTTACAACATGTACTTTGTACCGGAATTGTCGGTTTAGTCGTTTTAACCTGTCAGATTAAAACAAGAAAACCGACAATTCCGAAGCAGAAGCGGATGATTAAAACCATTGATAAGGCAACGTAAGGATACGTCATATGTATTATTTTTGATATTCAAAAGTGGGACCGGTAGGCGTGGCTTTTGCACTCACTAAAATGGCGGAAGAGCAGAACCGGATTTACAAGTTTTTATTGTACTATTTCTGGTTAAGTATCATTATTTGAATTATAAAAAAATGAATTTACTTTTTATGGACATTGACTTAAAAGGTGGGAGGCCGAGGTTATAAAAGAAGGGGGTTTAAAAGCTTAAATATGCCCGGTTTTCAGCCGAGAGGTGCTGAATAAAGTAAATGAAAGAAATTAAATATAACTGATTTAATTATCACTCAAGTGGCTATTAAGCGCTGGAGAATATATTATTTGCAAAATTGCAACTAATTAATGACCATGATATAACTAACTTGGGGCCGATTCCACCATTGGGATTAACGAAGTTTAAAATGACATTTTTATATAAAATGTAATTTTAATCTTCAATTCATAGTTTAAACTTTAACACAATTGTAAAATTAACCTTAAAGCGTTGAAATCATTCACAGAAAAAATAAATAGTACATTTTTGATTCACATAAGCGACAAAAGTAAATAGAGTTCAATTTATTGGATCAGTCGTCACACGTTTGCACTAGGGCACATAATTAGCCCAATCTTTAGTTTTTCGTTTTTCTATGAGCCCAATGCTTTCTGTCTTTAAATCGGAAAGTACAAGGTCGCAAATGTTAAGTAATCTAACCTTACTTTAATTGACAGCTTTCTCGAAATTAAGAACAAATGTTCATACACTAAAAGCTCGATAATCAGATACGAAACTTAATGCAAGGCTCGCGGAAAATGGCTAATAAGCAATCTCTGTGTAGGTAGATGCACTATTCAGGAAATCAAAATGTGGATTAATATTACTTGGTCTTGGTCCTTTTGTAGATTCAGACTGAAAGGTGTATATCTTCATGCAAGACATTCAGTAAATCAGCGAAGCCACAACCAGCAATGTGCAGGTGCACTTCTAACAAATGTAAAATATGAAGAGATCTTACTTGAGACCTATAGATCCAATGACGATATTATGGTAGTTGGTTTGAGCTGGGCTTCTCACCATCTGCAGAGATTATGGCTACTTATGTAAAGGCCTAACACACAACATGCACCACAAGCATGCCGGTCCAATTTAATTGGTCTGTGCACAATAATCATGCATGCATGATTGAAAGTCAGACAAAGAATGTGAAGATAAAGTTGAAGTCTCAATCATAGTTAAAGTCACAGATGAAGTTAAAGTTAACAGCAAAAGAGTTGAAATTGTAGGCTGGTGATAAAGGGAGGCCAACATCTAGGTAATAAAAGTTTATCGAGTTAGGAAAAGTATCCACTGTAAGCGCTTTTCTTGATCACTGAGGTAAAAACCAGAATATTTCCTTATACACAATTTCTTCTCTAGGCAAAATAAGAAATAAATTTGTAAGAGTACTTCCCAAGTGTTTTTCCAAAAGCTCTAAGAACAAAATTGACGAAAATGGCCCAATCCAAGTTCAAATTCTAAAACTTGAACAGTAAAGATAAGTATATTACTGTAAAACAAGTAAACCCCCTTTGTTGACTAAATGGTTGAATAATTCATTACCTACGTGAAGGTTGAATAATTCATTACCTACGTGAAGGTAGAATAGGGACTAAAGTTTAGCAGAAAAAGCCACTAGAAAAGGTGAACAAAATAGACTAGGGCATATGAACGACAAGCAAATATTGTAAATGCAAATAATGTGTACTGTGATTAAATAAAAGTGTACAAGGAATAAAGTTTTAATATTTTCTTATCCATATATATGAGTGATATTTATTTTTAAAACTAGATAAACGGTTATGGTTTTGTTGCTAGTCTCATTAAAAAAAAACTAAGTGAGTATTGATGTCAATTATTTATTATTATAAGAACTTATATACAGTATGTTCATAATATGCACTATACAAACTTAAATATTATATTCCTGAATTCATTTCAAGCATAAAATATCCTATGAACAAATATCCAATTCTACATGGTTACCAAGCTACAAGAGTCTAAATATCAAAAGATATATTAACATAGTATGCCATGTGTTGGAATATGTCGAAACAGCACTGAATGTTTGGTGCCTTGGAACTTGTCGGTATGGAAATTGTCACTGATTCTCCATACAAGCAGCTCGCGAATATTCATGACAAAATCATTAAAGGTACACTATTTTGGCATATTATTAATTTAAATTTATGATAAAAAGGAAACGTAGTTGACAAGTGTAGTACTGAGTAACCAACTGACGTTTATAATTATTGTTGATAAAATACCAAAAGTTTTCAAAATGTGATATTTAAGTTTGTATAGTGCGTCTTGCAACATTTTTTTTAATAAATGCCCCAAGTAAAGAAACATTTACGATTATTACAATCTAATCATTAAAATCAATTAGAAATTTTATTCTAACTTATCAAGGGATGAAAAACTTCACAAATTGATTGTACTATCTAGTATACCTTAGAGTCTAAATCACTTAACTGCACTATACTATGCTTTAACATCACTGAACTAACTCAAAAGGCTTGGTCTCTTGAGTCTTCTTATTAGATTTGGCATTGTTGAGGAGCTGGATAATCTCGAGGTTTCCATGCTGGAACAGTTGTTGTTGGTGACTACTGGCAAATTTTTGTATTGTATTTTCAACAGTCTCCACTTTAAGGTCCCTATGAAGATCAGTATTGTGGCAGTACCAGGGTGAATTGACGATGTTCCTTAATGCTTTATTCTGGAACCGTTGAATAACTTTGATGTCACTTTTCTGGCACATCCCCAAAGTTGGCGAATCGCTTCATTTTCACCAATTCCTTTAAACGCACTAATCTGAAACAAATTATAGGTAATTAAAAAGGTATATTAATATTGTTTTAAATTAACTATAATAAAACAAACAATACTCATGCATACACAAAGCATGAAGCTCTACTTTTCAATCAGCTGTAGAACTAATAAATAAAATTGGTGGAAGGACAGCAAATGTAGGTTATATTTAAATAGAAATAAGAATATAAAATGCCTATAAATTAAATTTGATAAACGAAATGGCGTACGATTAATGTACTTCTCAACAAAATGCTTGAAACATGTACTGCTTAATTTAGAAGGTTACCAATTATACTTGTTGACAAACTGTATCCACACGCTACGTTTTATAGGATTTTTTGGAAATCTATAAATATTATTTCGTATAAAAAAGTATCATTCCAATATAGGTAGGCCCAAAAGTTGATAGATGATTTTTTTTGCATTTTTAAAAGCATACTTTTACACATTTTATACAAACCTGTCATAATACTGTCCTGTATAATATTTATAATTTTGATACTAACCTATGAAACGTTATTCCAGTCGATTTTTCACAAAAACGTCTATCGCTAGAGCAGGAACGTATAACACAGCAAGGCATTATATACTTTATAAGTTTGTAACACTCAAAATTTGCTCAAACACAAATTAAATTCAAATTTAATTACACAAATGACACTAAAAATATAACCTATAAAATTTGACAATTTGCACTCACAGTAATGGCGGACCGGTCCCACTTTTCGCTTACGCATGTCGTATCCCTAGGTTGCCAGATCAATGATTAAAACGCACCTATTAAAAATATTGCGCCAAGATGTAGGCAACACGTAATAAGGGTTCAAAATGGCGGAGTTTTCTATCTCCTTTTAAAAGGCACTCAGAAAGCTGCGCAGTGCGACCAGTAAGCAGACTTCAGGTACTCCAAAACAAATGTATGAGAGTTGTTCTAAAATGTAATATTTACACTCCAATCAAAAATATGCTACAAACCCTAAATTGGCTTTCTATTGAACAGAATATTAAAAAGGCAACCCTCGTTGTAATCTATAAAATGATGCATCAATTAACACCGAAATATCTAAGTGAGTTACTAGTTACGCGGCAACACTTACATTCTCGACATTTAAGATCCGATGAAAATTTCAACATAAATTTTTCAAATAAAACTTTCTTAATGGGATCGTTGCTAATTAATGGAATACATCTTTTTAATAATCTGCCAAAAGAAATAAAAGACTCTAGCAATTTGAATTTGTTTAACAAAAAATTATGTAAATATCTTAGAGAATCAAATTAAACAATTGTGTATATTATGTAAGATAACAAAAAAAAATATGTAAATAAAAAAAATAATTGTATATAATAGCAATGGCTAAATAAACGGATTCATTCATTCATTCATTCATTCATTCATTCATTCATTCATTCTTCGTAGAGTAAAAGAAAATCAAAGTATGTGGGAAATACATATAACTAATTATTGTTTCGGCCTTGTATATGAAATATGGTCACGTGTTCACGGTTCACGTTCTTCAAGTAAAGGGTATGGTCTGTGCTTCAAGTTAAGTTTAAAATATTTTTAGGTTAGAGAAGAAATCTGTACTCAATGCTCAATCTTTTGATTAAAATCTAATAAATTGATTAGAAAAGAAACACTATTGTATTTTAAGTAATTAAGGAAGTATTATTTAAAATGGAATACATTGAACAACCTCTTCAAAGTGAACCAGTAAAAGCACAAATGTTAGTAAGCATAAACATATTTGTTGTTAAAACGTGTTTTTGAAATTATATATTTTTTAGATTATGTTGCGAATGTGGCATAGTTATAGAACCCAATCCTGCAAATATGTGCGTAGGTTGTCTTCGCTCGCAGGTGGATATAACAGAAGGCATTCCAAAACAAGCCACTCTTCATTTTTGCAGGGGTTGTGAAAGATATCTACAACCTCCAGGAGAATGGGTGCAGTGTGCCTTAGAATCCCGCGAATTGCTCTCTTTATGTCTTAAAAAGCTCAAAGGATTAAATAGAGTGAAACTCATTGATGCTTCTTTCTTATGGACTGAACCCCATTCAAAAAGAATCAAGGTTTTAACATTATTTTACTGGAAGATATTGATAAGTTTTTCACCTAAAGTAGGTTTTTTTTTAACAATATTTTGGTCGTTTTTAGCTAAAATTGACTGTTCATGGAGAGGTTGCTGGTGGTGCAATGTTGCAACAGGTTTTTGTTGTTGAATATACAATAGGACATCAGATGTGTGATGAATGTCACAGAACGGAGGCACAAGATTTTTGGAGAGCATCTGTTCAAGTCAGACAAAAGGCAGAAAACAAGAAAACTTTCTACTATTTGGAGCAACTTATTTTGAAACACAAAGCCCATGAAAATACATTAGGAATTAAACCAATTCATGGTAAATTGGTAGCATATATTTTTAAATAGGTCCACTAATAAAAGCAATGTTTTTTTAGGTGGGTTGGATTTCTTTTATACTACTGAGGGCCATGCACGGAAAATGATTGATTTCTTGTCTGCTGTCCTTCCTTGTAAATCACAACATTCTAAAAAGTTGATTTCCCATGATATACACAGCAATGTGTACAATTATAAATTTACTTATGCTGTAGATATTGTTCCTGTATCTAAAGACAGTGTTGTGTGCTTACCAAAGAAGTTCACACAGCAATTAGGAGGAATTTCACCTTTATGTCTAATTTACAGAGTCACCAATTCTATACATTTAATCGATCCCAATTCTGCTCAAAGTAAGTATATTAACTTTAACTACAATAATGGAAGAAGTCTTAAAGAAACTTCTTTCATTAATTTTGACTTTTTTAGTTGCAGAAGTAAATTCCACCAACTATTGGCGTAACCCATTTGGTGCTATTTGCAACCCAAAACAATTGATAGAATATATTGTTATGGATATTGAACCAATAATGGATAAAGACAGAAAATATTTCCCTGGTCAAGGTGCTATTTCACATCGTCACGTTTTGGCTGATATATGGGTGACCAAGGCTTCTGAAATTGGACTTGATGACAGCACTATTCATACTAGGACTCATTTGGGGCATGTGTTGAAACCAGGAGATTATGTACTTGGGTAAATTAAATATTAATGTTCATTTATTCATTTAGAACCTATTTAGATTGATTACAAGGTGATTTCAGATGAAAACTTACCAGTATTTCGGCATTAGTTCACCCCTTGGATTACTTAATCATTGAAATAAATGTTTAATTTCAACAGCATTAAGAAACGAATACACTTATTACAAAACCAAAATAATTATATTTTTTAGTTACAATTTGGAGGATACAAACGTAAACGATTCAAACTTTGATAAACTGGATAGATCAGTAGTACCTGATGTTATTTTAGTAAAGAAACACTATGGCGATAGATCATTTAGAAAACGTCAAAGAATTTGGAAACTTAAACGGCTTGCTGAAGGTGACACAGCATTTGATCCAGATGCAAAGTATGTTAAAATTTATTTATTAATAATATGTAGTCTGTACTTACGGTTAACTATTGTACTTTCAATAGTTTATGACCAAAAAAATAAAAGTACTAGATTATTTTTCTGGTTTTTCAAATATTTAATATAATTAATAAGAATCCCTCTAGGTTTGCGTATCCCTCTATTTTAAAATCTTTTTCACAAGAAATTCACTAAAATCCATTCTGAGGATAACCTTATAAAGTTCGAAACGTCGATATTTAAAAACAAAACTTAGTTTTATTTGGTCTCTATTTAACTTGTACCCAGTGTTAAACTTCGTAGAGGCCACTAACGTTACTAATAACTTATACAGTCAATTTTATCAACCTTCAATATATATTTTTTTTTTAGTGATTTCCATGAATTCCTGGACGACCTTGAGGAAGATCCTGATTTAAGACAAAATGTAAACATTTTTAAGGATAAAACTAAGCAGATTCCTGTTGACACATTTGACAACCAGGATGAGAGTGGACCTCAAATTAGTTTGGCAGAAATGTTGGATGACCTTGTTTTAGATGATGTAGAGATGGAAGAAACAGAAAATTGAGTGTACTTTTTCGGTGAAAATCATAATATATTTCATATTGTTAAATTGTCTTTTATTTTATTGATCTGTCATGCTAGGAACAGGAAGATAACTCACCAAAAATTTGAATATGTTCCATGTAAAAATCGTAGTACCTTATACAGGAGTAGATAATTTAAAATCACTGTATTGTGATTTCTTAAACCACTGCAGTCAGTTAAATGAGGAAAATGTCACTAATTAATGGGACCACCTTATTGATGTTTTGAAGTTCAAGATATCAGGTCCACTTTCCAAGATATTTGAGTAAAATTAATAGGTCGAATTTTTTAATTTTTAATAAATTGTATAATAGTTATTTGTGTACCAAGGCCGTAAAGTTGGCCTTTTTTTCCGAATCAGAAATTTGCGGCAGAGGCGTAACCGCAACTTCTGGTTAGGCCAATAAACATCATACTTTTTAGGCGCCTGTCTCATCAATTATTTTTTTTACATTCTTGTTTTTGAAAAGAAACTTAAATGCAAGAATTGTTTCAAATTTTTATTGATCGAATAAAAACCCAATGTTAAGTAATAAAATTTGTACAGAATAACGATAAGTATGATAAACTTGTGTTATAAAAAGCGGCCGTAAAGTAAACGCGGCCAAAAAAGTGACACTTCAGGGATGTTAACAAATTCGTAAAATGTAATTTTTGTAACAATCACCTAAAAAGGTTTTTTATTTGACTATAAATGGAGCTTTTGTTCCTGCAGCTAAATTTTCAATCCGTTTCTGGTTTGAAGGAATACAATCATACCACCAAGAATGTTTTTTTTTAAATCCACTTTTTGAAAGTACTTCTAATTCCTAATATAACCATATAATTAATGTAATAATAATTTTTACTCATTTGCGGTAAACAAACGGGTACCTACATAGTATACAACAACTTTCTAAAGAAAAAGTGATAACCACTGCCATAATAAATAAAAACATGTTCATAAATGCTGATTTAACAGCTTGTCCCTGAAACCTATTTCATTTTTATGGGGACAATGAAAAAAAGAGCAAATCAATTATACCAGTTAAATAAGAAAATAGCCATAATCAACGTCAATACAATTATCAAAACTCCTAAAGGATGTAGTATTAACATAGAACATTCCTTATGTGAAAATACAGAAGAAAATGCAATTGGGAACCCTCTAATATTGCCAAAAATGAAATGGATCCCATCAACATCAAATCCATCTTACCAAAACCCTCCTCTGAAATTACATTCAATAAACTCAAAGCCATCCAAGAATTACAGAAGATAGCGAAATCCACCCAAATTCCACAAGAAATCGACTCCATAATCTGGAATGTGCCCAGCCTAATGATAGTAATAGCCCTGGTATCTACTATCATCTACATATGGTACCGGAAGAAGAAATCCAATAATCACCAAAATTTTTCAGAAGAAAACCTCCAACCCAAAAACAACCCCATATCAGTATTGTTTTCGCCTAAGGAGGGAGGAGTTATATAAGAAGAAATGTTGATCTTATTAAAATATAAAACTGTTAACCTTGCATTTATCATTCTCATGTAAAACACTATTTAAATTCATTCCAGCTTTTATTGTATTAGAGTAAATATCAAAAAAATAAAGTCCTTAAATTTCAAAAAGTAATTTTTTGTTTTTTAAAAAAATATTTTCGAGTTAAATAAATTTATCTAGCCCAACTAATAATAGTATATTACATAACGAGAGTTGTAAGGAGCTTATTACATGCGAGCCGCATAGCGGCGAGCGCAGTAATTTTATGAGCATGTAATAAGCTTACAACTCTAGTTGTGTACTATACTTTTTCTACGACATTTTAATTTATAGATATAAAAAGCATAACAAGTAACTTTATTTCACAAAATTCTGGAACAATTTAAATTAAACATTTATTTGTAATAATTAATTGTAACATTTTGGCAATTATTTACGCGGTGAATGGTGGGATGACGTAAACTGTACGGTGTGTTCTTCAACATTTTGGCAATTATTTTTAACTATTCCTTTACGCGGTGAATGGTGGGATGACGTAAACTGTATGGTGTGTTCTTCTTGTACATTGGTATTTTCAGTATATGTAAAGGTTTGTAGATTATTTTCAATTGAATTTATAGTTCTATTGGCTGTTGACGTCTTATTATTTATTGACTCATCGACATATCCTTCGGCTGTTGTTGGAAGATTTCCATCCGCCATGTCGTTTAAGAGCCATTATATCACCACCGGCATCAACCAAAAGGGTGGCAGAAGTTCGTCTTAAACAGTGACCTGTATACATTTTGGGATCTGGTAACTTTAAATATTCGGCTATTTGTTTAGGAACACCACCTATTTTGTTTAATCCTACCACTTGTTTCGTACATTTACCTTTTTGATAGTTAAGGAAAAATTGATTTATTTGCGGATCGCTAATTTGTTGCCGAATCTCTATATATTGTTTGCAGATTTTATAGAAATTTCCGGAAATTACGAAAGATCTACATACTTTGGTTTTCGTATCAGGGATTTTAACCAATAATATGGTACTTAAATCACTAATTTTATTATTTTTTAATTCTCGTTTTCTACAAGCTCCACATATTCCAACAATTGCAATAAACTTAAAATAAAAGTAATATAAGTATACATTTATGTTATAGGTACTATTAAATAACATACCTTTGTTAATAAATATTGTACATCAGGAGCTTTATTTAAAAAAAGTTTTATCTAATCAACATGTAAAATTTTAGATTTTTTGGTTTTAAAACTTTCTGCCTTTTTAAGTAAGCTCGCAATTTCGGATAATTTTCAATGTTTACATTATTTTTCAAAGTTATAACACTTCTTAACATATAATTGCCTATAATGAGGACGGTTTAATTTTTTTAGCGATTTCTCCAAAATAAGCCAGAAAATGATTTTATATTATTTGTTGTACGCCAATCCATAAATTGCTGATATACCTTTTTATATCTTCCTTTTGATTTTTCTGGTAATAGGTTATTGGTAGTGTTCGCAGCTAACTGAATAATATTGGGTGGTGTGCTATTAAATTCATCTTCACTATCCGATGAACTTATTTTACTTTTTTCTCTTTAAATTATTTGTACATTTACAGCTTGTATTATTAATTTAATTCTGTCAAAATAATGGCAGCTGACTTACAAGGCTTATGTGATATATATTTTCATGGAACTGAAGCGTAATTTTTTTTATTACGTGCTAGTCATTACGTGTTAGTAACTGTAATGACATATTTACTTAGCATTCAAATAGTAGGTAATGGGCAATTTACTAGTAAATTGTATCAAATACGGTCCTGTATAACTTTCGTCGATTTTTTTTTATTATATTCATGCCTTGTGTGAACCACTTACAAAAATTAACTCTAAGGGGGAAATGTTCAACGTGAAAGGGATACAACTGATTTTCCCGCGGTTGTCCACACTTTTCTTCAACATCCCACCTGATATGCAATCAGCCTCACGCTTATCTAACAACAAGTTCCTCACAACATTATTTATATTTAAAGTACATTATTCCAAGGCACATAATTACCAATTTACCACATTGAACAGATAAACACTACTGACCTACTAACGAAATGAGGCCACTAAATTGCAATATTCTTGATTCATATTCGTAAAAAAAAGTTACGGAAAAAACAGATAAACATAGGCATTATTAATTTGTTTAATTTTCTGTACAACAGGCCCTGTTTTAGATTTATTATTTATTGTAACCTACCTCATCCAGGTACCTTCATAATTTATTAATTCCATTTTATTAAAGACAAGTTGTATTCTTATTAAATTCAAATTCCTTCATTTTACGAAAAATCATTTAGATAATTAAATCCTAGCTATGATATCTAATAAATAAAAGCAATATTTTTGCTCGCGGGGCTCTAATTTTACAGAAAAGATAAAAAGTTATCTATCCCATGCGAATTCAATCCAAAAACCTCCATACAGATTTATTGTCACTAAGTAATAACAAAACAGTTAACGCGCTTAAGTCAGTTTTGAATATTAAGACCAATTTCGACACAAAATTCCGAGAATTTCTCAAGGCACATAATAAATCTACCACCCCTTTTTTATCCACCCAAATTCGTTCCCACCGGAGCTACAACAAATGTCACAAAAGTCATTAAAACGGGTATAAATATCTGAACCCGAGATTCATTCATTTATTATTTGGCATCCAGTTTAATTCATTGATTAATATATTAAATCCAGTCTAATTCAGTTGCTTTCGAATTCAGTTATATTTCAAGTTCAGTATTCAGTACCTTTCCTAAATCGACGCTCTTCCTAACTGACATTTTCCTACAATACCTCCTATCCCCCGAACGCTGTCACGTCCCGAACCACCTAAGTAATTCCTACCTTATATCCGCCCCGACGATCTATCTCCCGAAAGCTGCCACGCCCCGACGGTCAACGTCTCACTGCCTTACTTCCCAATGTTTGCCGTCTCTTAATTTTTCCTTCATAATACTTTTGACGACACCCTTCGTCGCGCAGCACCACCTAAGTATTCCCTACCGTATGTCCGTCCCGACGCAGTACCCTAATAAATAGGCGTCTCGACGCAAGGAGACGCTCAAAACTGGGAGATTTAATAAAAAATATAGGTGGTGGAAGACCAGAAATCGTTTGGAAAATTCTAAAAAGAAATCTCCTGTACACATATTACATACAGCGGATCCAAGCTCTGCTGCTTTGGGATTTTCACCCATTATTAATCTTTTGCAAGTGGTCGATTCATACGATGGCACACAATTTTAATTTTTTACCAATGATTTTATTTTCGGACGAAGCAAATTTTTCACGAGATGCTATTATGAATTTTCACAATGACCATTTTTGGGCCGACGAAAATCCCCACGTTTTTAAAGAAAATAGCAACAATTTACGCTGAACTTTTAGGTAGGATTTATTGATGACTACCTAATTGGTCCATTTTTTTACCATCAAGATTAACAGGTGGATCCTACTCACTTTTTGAGAGATCGTTTACACCGTTTTGTAACATGTAAGGCCAACATGTGGTTAATGCACGACAAGGCTCCAGCTCATTTTAGTGTTCTAGTTCCTCAGCGTCTCAACATCACCTAACCTAATCGCTAGATTGGACGTGCAGGACCTCAAAATTGATCAGGTCGCAATCCTGATATGAATCGTCTAGATTTTTATTTATGGGGTCATCTCTTTGTTTATAACACTCCTATACTAGATGTGACTGACAATTGCAATGTCATAAGAAATACTTATACTTCAGGTATTTTTGAACGTGTCCAACAAAATCAATGACAAATCGATTGCAGTCGTTTATTTTATCAGAAGGTGCTCTTTGTTTTTTATTATTTTTAGGATTTATTTTATGTTGTCCATGGATAGTTTTCAGAACGATTTTATTTTTTTTTTCTCGAAAACGAAGCTAGATATGCAGAAAACACAAGGGATCAAAAAGTTGTATTTTAATAGCTTAATCTGAATATAAAAACTACAAAAAAGTCATTGGCGTACTTTTTTTTCTCAATTATACTGGCTGTGACGCCACCTGGTCCAATAATTTCAATCTAGTTAGAGCCAAATAACTGTACCAAATTTAAACCAAATCGCTTTAAGAATTATGATATTTATAAAATATCCAATTTTTTTTTTAACTTTAATCTCAGAAACGAAGCAACTCCGGACATATGTTCATAGGAACTTTTTTCATAAAACGACCTAAGGAATTACCCTGTGAACTTTCGTACCGTAGTTAGGAACACCCTGTATAAAATATTTTCTACATGTGGTCAATCCATCATCCATCAAATTTCTAATTATGAGGCGGTCCATTAAATCCACGTTAAAATTCTCTTTTTGAATAGGTTTTTACTATTTATTGATGTGTAATTATAAGGTAACAAAAGTCGTATTTAGTTTATGTATGTAATACATGAAATATTTTTGACCTACAGATTTCGGAGCAATTGGAATTTATTGAGCATCCCTTTGTTTTTGCTCAAGTGTCGTAAGCTGGATTTTAAAAGATACATGTTTTTATTTTTATAATTAAAAGTACTTTTACTATATAGTTGAGCATTATCTAATATGCTAGCCTCTTTGAAAAATCACAGGTTTATTCGGGTTCTTCAAAAATACGTGAAGACTATCAGAGGACTAGTTGACCAGTGGACAGTTTAAAAGTTGTACATGACGAATTATTTGCTATTCAGCTGTTCCACTGGATCTTGGATGGTTTCCATCAGTTTTAAAGAAACCCGAACAAACTCGACTAGTTGAAATTAGTCATTTTGAGAACTAACCTAATTTGAAAAGTTACGTTTGTGATTTTATGATTTTTTCGAGCATATGCAACCAAATAAATACAGTATGTTAACCTAAGAATCCGAGGAATAAAGATGAGACACGTAGTTATATTAGTCAAAAAATACAAATATAGATACTTTCTAAAAATAAAATGAAGCGATTCTTAAATGTAAAAGCAGAATTTATTATATTGTCTGTCTTAGACTACCCTGTCCACCTGCGTGACTGGAGCCGATATAGCTCTATTTCTCTCTATGTAATGTTATTGTTTTCTAGACCGTTTTCCAATATTTAGGATTCTAAACTTTACATTTTCTGTGGACTTAAGGAAGCTTGCTAGTTAAAGAATGTCTTGGTGACTTTTGCCCATCCTCCCTATCCTCTGTTCCATATTGCAATATTAATTCATTTTAGAGTGAAGAGGTAGTGTTTCTATAATGTTTATCCCATTTTAAAAAAGAATCAACAATAACGAGGCTAATAACCTTGGTAGTTGATGTCGATGTACAGAATAAAAAGTAGCAGCACAAGTACGATTCCTGGAGGTACACCACAGGAAACGATTTTCTATTCATTTATTATTCAGTACAACTTTTTGTTTCCTGTTCTCCAAGTAGGAAGCAATTTTTTGTTGGGTTATACCTCGCAATCCAGTGTTCTAATTTTTTAAACAAAAGCGTATGATTGGCAGTATCAAGAGCTTTTAGTAGATCAAGAAACACGCCTAAACAAACATTATTTAAATGCCATGTTATAGTTAATATTTTTCTATTTGTATGTACAGGTAAATTATGATTTACATTTTGTAGCGCTTTTTTAAAACACACTAGGCATCTCAAAGAAGTTTTAATAAACTGTTCAGTTGTGAGATTCAATAATTAATAAAGGGGTAAATACATTAATTTTCAAAAACGTTGAAGGAGGTATAATGATAATAAAAAAATAAGACAATAAACTTATATTTCAGATATATCTTGTGTTACACGTTACAATTATAAAAATAATCTTTTCAAAGTAATGAGTAATGTAACTGAAAAGAAAAAGACTGTCCTTTGTTAACTTTGAAAACTTTTTTTTTTACATTATAAAACATTTACACAAAACGAAATAATAAAAAATTATATAAAAAAAATATTGACTAACAATATTTTTACACTTCACACGTATACATGTAGCTGAAGGCGCATGGTTTAGGTATATCAAAATTAAAACCACAAAAATTTATGCTACTTAGGATACATTTTTTTTTATTAAGAGATACAACTAGTTTTTAAAAGTATTATGAGTATCCCATTTATATTTAAAATTCTGTATAAAATGAAAGTCGCTTCTCAAAAATGGGTAATTATTAATTTACTAATAAACTAAACCAATATTGGTTACATATTAATTTTTTTATTTTGAAAAACGAGTTCCACAAAACCGTTTTGTTTCAAAAATGTTTTTGTGAGGTATTCATGGGTATATTTATTTGTACATATCTTTGGTGCACAAGAATAAAGACACAATTCAAACATTTTCATTTTCGAGCTTATTGTGACAATGTATTATAGAATCTGCATATTTTTATGCAGAAGAACGACATATTGCAACTTCCAAAAATTGGAAAGTGGTTGTGTCACGAGTTTATGATGATAAAGAGTGATCCGATAAACAGACAAGATCGTCAATTTTTAGCTAGAATGACATAAATCAAAATATGCCAGTTTTATTGAAAATAATGTTCTTCATTTATTTTCATTAAAACTGGCAAGTTTTAATTGTCATTCTAGCGTGGGTATATTTAATCGTTGGTGCACAACTGAAAAATTTCCATTTTCGAAGTTATTGTGAAAATGTATAGCAGAATCTACATATTTTTATGTGGAAGAACGAGATATTGCTACTTTCAAAAATTACCGCTGGACGACACAACCGATGTTGTGTTGTTCTTTCCGTATTACAAAGTCGCGAGTTTATGATGATAATCAGTGAGACAAGATAGTCAAAAATCTGCCAGTTTTATTTAAAATAATTTAAGAACATTATTTTCAACACAAGTCAAAGGATGACTAGACTGTATATTGGCAAAATAGGAGCAGCAGCTTAAAAAAAATTAAACATTCTTAAAAAATATAATTCTAAAATCCAATGCATTTTTCTATGAAAATTTATCATTTTTAAATATCCATATATTTTTGAAGTTTGATACGTTATTTTTGGCAATAAAAACTTTTTTAAATAATATTTTTGTATGCATTATTATTAAGTTTGTGATAAAGATATCAATATTGTGTGAAATATATTTTTCTGGAAGATCGTCATAACTCAGAAGATGGATGAAAATAAATTTTAATTTTTTATAAGTTATAAAAGGGAACTTGTTATTGTTTGAATACAAGGTGAACACTAATGCTTATTCCCAAAAACATTTAGATATTTTTAAAATGCAAGATCATTCCATGTCTTATAGAAAATAAGAAACTTTAAAATTGATGCCCTCTCAAAAATTAATGTTTATAAGTTGTGTCACTATTCTTACGAGCGATATGTAAGCATGATCCTGAGTGAATAAATAGATATTTCAAAATCCATAGAAGAAAAAATACTTAATAGCATTTTTACCAAACTGTTAAAGCAGGAAAAGGAATATAGGACCTAATAGTTCGCCATTTCCAACTATTGACCGAAGTCTTAGCATGCAATACAGACCGATACATATTACTGAATGGTAGACTAAAGTCTTCAATCAATCTCGACATGTGTCACTTAACTAGAACAACTGCAGAAAGTTCAGTATTTCACTCGACGAGGCGTCCCTGGCAACACTAACAAATATTTTCTAATCCAATATGGCGGACATGGTAGGAAGGCTACCCGCAGAAGCAATGTGGAGGGTATTTTAGCAATAGTATTAGGTGTGGACCTGGAAAAAGCTACTAAATATTGTCTACAAAAAGTCAGCATGCCAAAGAAGCGTTGGGAATGATGAGGAACGTTGAAAAAGCCTGCAGCAGCAATGCAGATGACTTCTTAGCAATGGTAGGAGGTTCGGAAGTTGGAAGAAACCGTTTAATTTTGTCTGCAAAAAGTCAGCATGCTAAATAAAGGTCTGGAATGATGTAGTACATTGAAGGAACCTCTTAAGACAAATTACTAAAAGTTTGCATAGTGAAGAAAGGATGATGATATGAGATATTAAACTAGTTCATGAAGCTAGATTTGGCGAATGGACTTAGTATCCGTAGCCAAGGGAAACCTAAATCTAATCACACACATGAAGCTAGATCTCAAGAAAAATACCTGCTGAAGAAGGGTTAGAGATGAAGGAAGACGTTGATGATGTCTCTAGATATGGTATACGAGAAGTTAGCATGCCGAAGAATGGTTGAGAATGATGCGAGAGACATTGAAATAACCAATAACAATAGATTACAAAAAGTATCTCTATTGAAAAAGGATTGGGAATTAATGGGGACGTTTTTACGAGAAGGAAGGTTGAGGAATATGTGATCTAAAAGATAGGGTACAAGAAGGGTTAGGGATGATGTAGGGTGTTGATAAAGTCTCGAGAGGCGGTATACAAGAAGTCAGCATGCCGAAGAATGGTTAAAAATGATGCGGAGATGTTACTTATACCAACAGATTATAAAAAGTATGTCTGTCGAAAAAAGATTAGCAATGAGCGAGGACGGTGAAGAAGCATCTGGTGTGGGTTTACAAGAACTCTGCATGTTGAAGAACGATTGGGAATAGAAAGGAGTCTAACATACACTCGTCTGCATTTTAGGATTTTAAATATTTTCTTAAGAGAAGATTAAAAAAAATGACGGGTCGGAATTAACGATATTAGGATATATTTTTACTTTCTCACTTCCTAACCCTGCTAACGTAATGGAAACTGTGCACGATTGAACCAATGTAGACAAGACATTGTAGAACTTTCCATGCTAGTGATAATATGAATGATTGAACGGCCTACAAGCGGGAGACGGGTTCCTAGATGCTTAGAAGCAAATCTCTGGATGCCAGCCGATTTACATACAATGTGCGCCATAAAGTTTGATTTTTTAATATTACGAATGAAAAAAGACGTCGTAGGGCAGGCAATCACCTCTGCTTATTTAAAATAGCCCATATCAAAAATTGCCTTTTTTAAATATGAAAAAAAGTTATTAGAGAAACTCGTTTCTAATGACATTTTACGTCAACGAGATATTCCGAGTAAAAAAATTTAGTTTTTAACATTTTTTATACACTCCCGTAACCGGCAATTTTACATTCATTGAAAACGCTTAAAAAGGATGAGAAGACAACAATTCCATACCAATTTTTGTTAATAATGTTCGACGGTGTGGTTATTTTTTACGTTATAGCACACACTGTATATCACACATTTATATAATACACCTCAAAAACACATTTGAAATAAGAATAATTTGTACTTTTCAATAGAATATAAATAAACGGGTAGAACGATTTTCGCTAAATATTAATTATTTGAAAGAAGAAAGACATTTGATCAGTCCTTTATTAATTCAGAATGAATCACTTTATTGATGAAGTCTTCTTGTTTTGAAGTTCTTAAATAGCTTTAAATGTTTCAAGTATCCAAAAAAAGTTATTTTGAGACTTAGGTTTAAATTTTTAGATTTTCTAATCTATCATTACAAAAAAATAATGGTCGTTGTAACAGTATAAATGATTCTACATTTTTCGTTGTCGTTCCAAAAAGTACAGAATATTCTTACAAAAAAAACGCGGACTATTTTACCGAACGATCAGTCTTGGGCAAAAATCTACAACGATGTTGTTGACTGAGAAAATCAGGGTAACTATAATTTGGAATTTTCGAAATTCAAAGAAGTCGACAACTTTACGGTCTGCGCTCCCTGGCAGCCGGCCACGATGAGAGGCTGGGACGATTGCTTGTCCAAGGTCTCGTTCGACACCTCGATGATGGTTTTTTCGTCCAGACTTTTGGTTGTCGCCTTGCCGTCGTTAATGGAATGAAAAAATTGACTGCGTAGAAAAGCTGCTTGTGAGGAATATTTCTTCGGTTTTTCTTCGATTTCTATACAGACACTGTCATTGCTCAAAGTATCGCTGTACATCTGAAAGAAATAGATATCAATCATTAACATCGTGATTTGTAATCTATAACTATAAAATGGCTGTAAATTTAAAGTTCCCTATTTAATAAGTTTTAAAATTTTTCTGTTTATTACATTTTTATATCTTTTATAGATTTATATATTTCTATGTTTATATTTAAATAGTTTTTCAGATTTTAAGCTTGTACACATTTTTAAATTATCTTTCTGTGATTGTCAATTTTATCGGATTATACCTGCTAAATAGCAATACATAAATATTTATGTAAATTACGTTAATGTAATTAATAACAATACGTAAATATGTATTTAAATTGTGTTAATTTAATTAATTTTGTATTTTTTAATATTTTTTAATATGTAATGGAATTTCGTAAATAAATGAATGAACAAATGTTTTATTATTTTTGAAAATTCATCTCCTAAGGTGCCAAAGTTTATATGGAGTTTTTGAAGGTACGATTTTAAAACTTTTTTGTATACCATTCAAAAGTAAGTAATGCAAAAATACGTTTTGACTGATTTAAGGGTCGATTTATCAAACGAAAAATGTGTCTAATTTTCATGGATCTAATCTGAAAAAATAAAAAACATGCATAGAAACTTACTGAGTTTGTAAGTAAAGAAAGAGATATTTATGTTGAAACTTTGAAAAAGAAAGGTGTTCATCTATTCTGTGCTCTGAAAAAATATGCTTATTCCAAAAATAAAATTAGACGCGTTTTTTTTTTCAAACTGTTTCTTGCTTGATCAGGTAATCTAACCAGCCTAAATGACAACAAATACGTGGTACTAATGGATAGACGCAATAATAAAAATCCATTTCATGGTTTTTCTTATAATTTAAGGATGTGCTTGTTATCTCTTGGCTAGAGATAAAATTAGTGCAAATATTTACGGAAATATTTAACTGTAAATATCGACCGATTACTATTGAAGTACCATTTGGGAACGCGAGACCGAGGCAGACGACAGAAGACAGCAAATATTGTCGTGTTAAAAGTGGTGTCGCGTCTCTTTCATCGGTCGCGCTCTCCCAAATGTGTTTCATTTAAATTGCATATGTCCATACGTAAAGATACCGTTTTCGGTAGCTTTATGGCGTCGCTTGCTGCTGTTTCCTGTCGCGGTCTCGCCTTCACAAATGGTACCTTTAGGGGACCAAAACCCTTGCTCTAAGACTGGTTTTTCGTCAGCTCGAAAGAGAGGAAGAGTTAAAATCGAATACGAATAAATAGACCGGAACAATTTTACCAAACAAAAAAAAAAAATCGGAACTGTGGAAACGCTAGTCTTTTTATAAGCTGTTTATAAAAATAATAACTCTAGGACTTATTTTCGAGTATTGGACATAGTTTAATGTACTGTTTTATGCGAGTAAGTATTACCTACCTACGTATTACATTTTATTTAACAAAAATCCACTTCGATTCCTGGAGGCGTATAATATGCAGGTAGTCATCAGTTCGTCGAAAAAAATCAATAATTGCCTCATATAAAATCTAAGTATTTCCTAAAATTAATAATTTGGTTCATATACGAGTAATACAAGGGAATGTCTATCATTTCAAGTCAAGAATATAATTAATAAATGTGATTTTGAAGTATCTAAATAAAATTATATTTTTGTTGGTTAAGACGAAAAACCGTAAACAAGAACAATAACTTTTTTATTATTATTAAAGATGATTACCTACTTATCTATTTACTATTTTTTTCTAAACAGTAATCAAAATAGTGCAAAATAAATAGCGGAACTATTAACTGCAGATGTTATATTATGATAAAGTGTATTAAAATAATTAGTAATAGTCGTATTTTTTTTAATTTTCATGTTACAAATAAAAAAAAGATTGATTCTATCGAGAATTAAAACGGCGTCGCAACGTGGTCGCGACATGTTGATAAAGTTTAACGCTCTTTGAACTGAGCCATCAGCTTATGTCACATACATTATTTAATCAAATATGTATATTGACCATAAACTTAGATTATATAAACCTTAGATGGAACATAAGACACTGCGCATAATCCCATTTCGAAATTATTCACACCCACCAATCACAGTTGAGAACATCACATGTCAGAGCGTTGTCCATCCAAATTTAATGTGTCAACGAGAATTAATTTGGTATTTTAGTGACTTAAATATTGGAAATTAACGTTGAAAATGCCAAGATGTGTTGTAAAAAGCTTTATTTATAATAAACCTGCGAAATGTGATGGAGATAAAAGAAACTTACATATATTTCGATGACATATTTAATTTTTAAGGATTCTGTCGACGTCCATATTTGTTGATTTGAAAATAAACAGAATCGGACTTGGTCATTGGTACATGTTATAAGTAACAAATAAAGGTTATTATTGTAAACTGTTTACTATTTCTTGTTTCATGGGGAATCTTTTTTTAGGAAGTGAAAAGAGAAACATACAATCAAATACAAAAATATCAAAATCATTGCCAATTTATTCGTTTCAAATTTCACAACTGGTTTCAATGGTTTTCTCAAAACTATTTATTTAGTAATTCTCTATAACAGTGTTACTCAAAGCCATGGGGCTCCGCAAAGCCTTTGTGAGGGCTCCGCGAAGAAAATAATTACAATAAAAAAAAGTACTATCGCCACAAAATGGAGGGACCTGGCTTGAGGATCTTTTTTTGAAAAGTATTTTTTTTTAAGTCACTAAGAGGAAGGAGGATATGATTTTGCTTTAGGACTTTTTTCTATTTTATTTTTTATGGGTGAAATGGATTTGGTATAATTCTTGCAAGGAATCTTTGGAATAAATCAAAAATAAATTAGCAACAAATGATGTTCTTGTGCATTTTTAGCCTCAGTTGCCGATTAAATTATTCGTAGATGCATCACATGTGGGAATAAGGGCCATGATTTTTGAAAAACATATTGAGAAATCTATAGATTCTGCTTCGCGTACCTTATCAAAGTCCGAACAAAATATTCCCAAATTAAAAGAGAGGTCCTTGCAATAATTTTTGACTTAAATAAATTTAATGAATATTTATATGGACATTTCTTTATCCTAGATACAAATCACTTACCTCTGGTAACTATTTTTAACCCAGCTAAATGTATACTCCAATTTTCAGCCAACAGACTACGTAGATGGGCAGTAATATTGTCAAATTACAATTATAAAATTGAATATGTGAAATCGGAGCATAATATAAAGTCGATTTTTTATCATGTTTACCTATTGAAAGTCAAAATGAGAGTCAAAATAAAGAAAAATTTGAAATAATTTTTTTAAATTATGTGATTTATGTGTTTAGGACTCCATAAAATATTTCGCTTTTCAAAAAGGTTCCGTCGCCAAAAAAGTTTGAGAAACACTGCTCTATAATAATATGGGATCTATCCATTTAATTTACATTCTGGTATTTTCTCTAATTTTGACTTATAAAGTAATATATTTTGTAATCGCAGCAAGTCTCAAAACGATTTACTTTATGCAACCAGTTGCATAAAGTAGAACATTATGCAACTGATTACGAAAAGTTGAATATGTCACCAGTTACGAAATGAAAATAAATAAAACTGCCTCTTTTTTGGTTCTTAAGTTGAAAAATCTAAAAATCATGAAATCGAGAAATCGAAAAATCGAGTAATAGAAAAATCTAAAAATTGCAAAATAAAAAATCGAAAAATATAAAAATCCAAAAAACGAAAAATCGAAAAATATAAAAATCCAAAAAACGAAAAATCGAAAAAAACCAAATATCGAAAAATAGGCAATGAATAGTGACATTTCACATTTGAAAATATGACATTACGTTTAACAACAAAAAATAAAACAAAAAAGAAAAGCTGTAGAATGCGTTTTATTTTTAAAATAACACCGTTATTGAAAATTGCCCAGAAATGTTGGGGGTATAATTGTGACGTACTCCTTTAAGGATAATGGGTAAAAATGTTTTTTTTTTTTTCAAATTTCTCGCGGGTAATGTCAAAAATTAGATCGGCAACACTACACATGTCCCTTATTTTTATTATTACTATTGAAAAAAAAAAACGTCGTAGGGTAATCAAATAACAACAATTTTCTAAAATATTTGATTGGAAGTACCTACAGAAGAATGATGATAAATCATTTTTCAACACAATTTTATAAATAATCAAGTCAAAATTAGAAAAAATCTTGTATGTAAACACGTTACGAAATGCCGTTTTGTGTAACTCGTTCATTTTGCGAGACCTCGGTCTGCTCGTTCCGCAAATATTTACTCGTTATACAAAATAAGGCATTAAGTAACTGGTTACATAAATAACTATTAATTGACTTCCTAATATTTTAATTCATTGAATGGTATTTTCCGTAAATAATTAAATCATAAATAATTACCGGCATATAAGTACCAAAACATTTTTTTCTCTTTGAAGAGTGGGCCTATGTCAAATAAACTTAAAATATTATAACGAACGAAAAGGTAACCCATTTCTAATCAAATTTAATTATTTATTTTATTTTGGTGTGATCGTAGAAAAAATCTTGTGTGTCGAGCAAAAAGTACTTTGGCTGTTTCTATAACTTTTTGTCTCAACAGCTATTTTGTTGCAATAATTTTATAAACTTTTACTTAGGGTCGATTTCACCGTTTTGTTAAACGAAGTTTAAAATACTAAACGAAGCTTAAAATAACATTTTTATATTAACAAAAACGAAGTTTAAGTTATTAAATGGAGTTTAAAATGACATTTTAATCTTCGTTTAATAATTTAAACTTCGTTTGACACAACGGTGGAATCGGCCCTTAGCTAGTTATATATTGATAAAGTATTATTGCCCTCATCATACATGAATCGTGCTAACAAATAAAGTCAAAAAAACGTCTCATAATTTTTCATCTTTTAGTTACCCACCAAAATTAGGTACTACAATACAAATATTTAAGTCCCGCCCAGAACATCTCCCTACTCCTTCCACCCAGTTTTTCGGTTTTGGCAAAATTCGCGCAGCGACAAATGCTTCCTATGTTACCTCTACCCTTTCTAACCTCTTTGACCATAAAGAAAAAGGCAAAACTAATGTAGGTAGGTGTTTTAATAATTTGTTAAAAATGAATATCTAGGATCTAGATCTAAAAATTAATGTTAAAAATTTGTCAAATAGATTTTACTATTAATATGGACATTACACATAGATCAAAATATAAATTAGGCGTTTGACATATTTGACAGCTGAAGCAGATTCATATTCAAACACGGGTGGAACGTAGATTCTTATTCACACGCATGTCATACAAGAAAAATCGGCTAGAAAAGTAGAACTGAAAATAAATGAGCAAAAAACAAAGTTCATAGATTGGTCATATAAACAGTACTAAGAAGGGAATAAGTTTGTAGTGAACACAGATGCAGGAAAAGATACAGATTTGAGGAGGTATCCACTTTCAAATATTTAGGGATACCAGTGACTAGAAATCCAGTATCTGAGGAGGAGACACAAGCTAGACTTATGAACGATAATAGATGCAAGTGGCATCTTAGTAGCATGCTTAAAAGTAAGAATGTATTGAGAAATTTGAAAATACGGGTGCATAAAACGGTGGTTCGCCCAATAGAACTTCTGCGAGACCTTTAACTTTGATATTAAGATAGAAAGATATACAGACATTAGAAATATGGGATAAGAAAGGGTTACAAAAAATATTTGGAGGTAAACAATTTAATGGAATTTGGAAGAGAAGAACAAATAACGAAATTAGTGAGTTATAAAACTCAAATATAAAGTGGGCATCAAAGTGCAAAGAATAGGATGGATGGGATATATTTTGAGAATCTTAAGGGATAGAATTCAGAGATACATATGACGAAAAAATATGATGAGTAAGAGAAAATGATGACCCACAGAAAGATAAAGAAAGGAGAAAATATTGAACGTTTCAACTGAAAAAAACTGAAAACAAAAATCTGTGGAAAAAAATTGTAAACAAAGCAATATTAAATTTCCACCGTTTATATTATTTTTTTAACTTACAACTTATACGTATAAATACTATTAAGAGGAAACCGGACCTCTCGCGAAAGCGAAAATGTTTTAAGGATTTTCTAATATAACATTGGATTTATACGCTTACCATTGGGAATACTTTGAGATATGTGCCTGGAGAATATTGAGAGCTTTAAATTTGTATAACAATAAGGCAGCACTCTACAGAGACGGTTAAGAAAAAAAGGTGGGAAATCGTCTTATTTAAAAACTACTAGATATTTATTAAAACAAAAGGTAGCAAATTTACATAGATTTAATACAGAATGGCGCGGCAATATGTTATTTGAAATTTCTTTTAAAATTTTTCAAATTAAATACTTTTTGAAGGTTTACAAAAAAATCAAGGTTTCTCCACCCTAAGTTTGGTTATTGTTGGTATTTCCTGAAAATTACACAAAAATCGGACTAAAAATAAAGGCTCAGAATAAATTATAAATTTTCAAGGTGTTCGGTTTGCACTTAAATAAAAATAATTGGACTCGTTTTTCATATGTATTCTAATATCACTTTCCTGATAAGATCCAAGTTTTGTATGCAGTCCTAAAAATTTAATAGAAGCCATTATTTTGACCGGATATACACAAGGTGAGACAGTCTTTGTGCCACAGATTCCTTTAATGCACAGCAATCTCCCTTTTCATTTTAAGAGGCTACAATTTCTATAAAATTAAGTTTCGCCTTGACAATGGTCATAAATAAATCGCAAAGTCAAACTTTAAAATTCGCTAGCGTAGAGTTGCAGGAAGATTGTTTTTCTCACGACCAATTTTATGTGGCTTGATTAATTGTAAGCTCGCATACCAGGTTAGTACAAACGAATACGGAAAGAGATGGAAATAAATGAAGACGATGATTATAGCTATGAACTACTGACCTTGTCTGCAGCAGACTTCGACAAAGCCGATTTGGTGGCACACCGGGCTCGAAAGCTACAACTACTGCCGATACTAGTTTTCTCAGCTTGCGCAGCAGTTATGAAGCTGACGTTATCATCAAATCGAACACGTTCTGATGTGCAGTCTTCCGTTGTTATACAACTACATGAATCGCTACCAGGAGCCTGAAAAAAAAACAATGATATGTGGTAAGTTATCTAAAATGATATATTCACACTGTCGGCGATTTAAAATATCCTATCCCATTTTTCTCTTGCATTATACTAAAAAAATATAATAACTGTTCATATTTTGAGTAACAACAGTGCCTGATTTAATGAGTTGCATTCAATGGAATTTTGAGCGGCAGAGTCTGACTAGAGTTGCATTCTCGATTAAATTCGATAAAATGTTGAGCAACCGCGTCTGAGTTATTGGCGAGTTGCATTCAATGGAATTTTAAGCAACATCCTTTGATTTAATGAGTTGTATTCAATTAAATTTTGAGCAGCAATGTCTGACTTAATGACTTGCATTTGATGGAATGTTGAGCAACATCATCTGAGTTATTAACGAGTTGCATTCAATGGAATTGAAAGTAATAATCTCTAAGTTGATGAGTTGCATTCAATGGAATATTTAGCAGTGTCCGAGTTGATGAGTTGTATTCAACAGAATTTTCAGCAACAGCGTTCGAGTTATTGATGAATTGCATTCAAGGGAATGTTAAGCAACAGCGTCAGAGTTGATGAGATGCATTTAACGGAATTTTGGAGTGTTATTATTGTTCATTTTAAAATGAAAGCGGCAATTTACAATTATGTAAAAAGGTAATTCATTATTAAATTTTGTAAATTCATCAGCAGAAGGTGACAGCAATTCGCTATATTTTAGTTTTCATTTATTGATATTATTTAGTAAACTACAAAAACTTTTTGCAACTTCATTTAAATTTCTATTGCTTCTGCGATTTTTTCTGTTTTTGCTAAACCAATTTAAATAACTACACCTTTGCCGTATTATATTTTGACTTATTTCTTTAAGTTCTGTTCCATCTGTTCACTTAGAAACTAGAGATAATTGAAATTTAAACTTACCTTGTAGTTCAACATGGATCCCGCCAAGGCTCTGACGCTAGCACCCGCATCGTCAGCGATACTTGCATTCACAGACTCGCTAAGACTACTAAGGCTAAATCTTTGAGCAGACACAAGATCAGCTTGGACTTCCAACCTCTGCCCGGCTTGATTTAGACTGCCAGCCAATGCCACTGTACTAGCAGACTCCCTAAAACAAAAAACGGAGCAATATTAATTCCAGTGATAAGAAGATGCATTACCTGTAGAACTAGAAATTAATGAACAAAAAACATTTATACATGGAAATAGGTTTTTTTTTGCAGAAGATAGGAAGGAACAGTAAATAGAATAGAAGTAGAACGATATAAATAGTTCATGAAGAAGGTGGGAATGAATGATGAAGAAATAAAAGAAAGAACAAAAAAACACATATATGTGCGGGAAGGCTAATAAGTTATTAAAATCAAAAATGTATCTAGAAATGCCAAGGTCAGAGTATGTAGGACTGTAATTAGACCAACAGTAACCACAGTTTGTGATATATGAGCTCTACTGAAGATATGGGAAAGGAAGACATTGGGGAGAAAAGTATACGAGTTGTATACAGAACCTATGATAACAAAAATAGTGAATGTTCAGAGAATAAAGTAGCTGGGACATATCTGGAGAAGGATAAGGAAATGATAGTGAAGAAGGTATTGGACATACATTTGCTAAACAACAGAGGAAGGGTAAGACCAAGAGTAAGGTGGAAACAAGTAGAAGATTTAAAGACAGTAGATAAATATAGAGAGAAATTAAAAAATGTAGTAAATCAAGTTCTCCCTCTATATATAGAAAGAACTACTAGAAAGAACATAATGGTAGTTCAAAGATGAACACTTTTCTTACCTATCAATATCCCTAAGTACTTGACTACCGCTGGCGAGCGACAGGCTGGCTTCGCCTATCGAAGGATTCGGTCCTTTCGTACTGACCGCGTCGATAGAGGTGGTGTCCGCCGCCCTGGATGTGACGATGTTCGAATCTTCGGAGGCCGAGGAACCGCCGCAACCACCTGAACCGCACAAAGAAACGGGTACCACTCCGTATACGTAAAAAAGAAGGATCGGCACGCCTATTCCTACCGCTAGGCCTGCTAAAAGTGGTGAGATCAACACCTGCAACAAAAAAGAATTTCATAAAAAATTTGTTAATGTTAAGAATAAGAGAATTACTTTTTGTAGCATGTTTCAAATTTAGTGAAATTGTTCAGCTTTAATATATTAGTAGATGAGAACACTTATTATATTGTTTTAATTATTTCAGCACCTAAGGGTAGGTTGATAAAATGCATAGATTAATAAATAATAAGCAATACAACTTTGTAGGTCGAAAAAAAATCGCAAGCAACAATTTTTAAAAGTTTGTTCGCTTTTTGGGATTAAACAGTAACCAAAATTTCACAAGAAATATACAGAGAGTAGGTATGTAACTTATAGTAATTAATAATTGGAATACTTAATTTTATTATTTAGGCCGCCATTTCAGTGTATTCCAAAGTTATTACGATTTAAAAAAAAAGGAGATAGCTCTGCTCCTGATAACTATAGGCCAATTTCTATAATCAGCCTTTTCGGTGACGTAGTATAAAAGGTTATGAAGCAGAGGCTCTATGATTAGTTTAATAAAAATAATTTCTTTTGGGAGTCACAATATGGTTTCCGTAATGAACGCTCCACTATTCTAGCTGTTATTAATGTTGTTAGTGGCATAGTTGAGGGCCTGGAAAGAGGTGAACACACTGTGCTTACACTATGTAATTTTTCCAAGGCCTTCGACTGTGCCTCTCGCGACATTCTGCTGGAAAAACTAAATTATAATGGAATTAGAGGTGTGCCCCTGTCACTCATTGAATCTTATCTGACTGTATATTTTAGTAATAACTCATCTAAGTTTAAAATGATCACTCATAGAATGCCACAAGGTACTGTTCTTGGCCCTCTACTGTTCATTATATACGTCAACGATCTAAATAAATATATGTACCCTTATAAAACTATTCTTTTTACTGACGATACGACCTTTACCTCAATTGGAAAAGATCAATCTTGTCCATCAAATTCTACTAAGGGTTATATTGAATTGTCAAAAAAAAAATGGTTATGTGCTAATAAGCATATGCTAAATTATGCAAAAACTCAAAACCTTAATTTTGTATCTGGTAGTTTATCATCGGAACTTTACAGTATCAAACTGTTAGGAATAAAACTTAATAGTAACCTTACACGAACCTGTCATATCGATATGATTTCTAACAGACCGTCAGATAGTGACCGATTTAGGTGCCCCCCCATTTTCGCATGCAAGCCTCGAAGAGGGTTGAAAAGTACATCGATGTTGAGTAGAATAAAAGAAAATTTACGAGTGGCTCTTAGGGATAACACATGGAAAATTCGATTTTCCTTATCAGAAAAATTTTCCGACCCCAAAATGCACTTATACATTTGGGTCATTCAAGAAAATATGTTTTTCGGACTAGTGACGACGTACGTTTTCATACATTCGATGGGCTTGTGTGGAAAAATCGAGCAAAATCTCGATTTTTCCTTAGAAGATTACGCCCTTATTTCGACCCTTTAGCCACTTGCAACATTAAAGCCTCTGGTTTTCCGAAGCCTAGTTCTATTAATTAATCATATAGTGAAAAGGGCTTGTGTGGAAAAATGGGCAACAAATAACCTTTCGTTTTTGTTAGGGAAAATCGAATTTTCCATGTGTTAACCCCAGCAGCCACTCCTAAATTTTCTTTAATTCTACTTAAAATCGATGTACTTTTCAACCCTCTTCGAGGCTTGCGTGCGAAAATGGGGCACCTAAACCTGTCACTATCTCACGGACTATAAAAGATTATCTAGTTTGTTGTTTTTGCTTTGGCGTTTGGCATTAGTTACCAATTTTTAATTTTTAAAGATGGTATATTTTTCATTGTATCATTCTCAGAAAGGTTACAGAGTTATTCTTTAGGAAAATTCATTAGAGGTAATTAAGTTATTTCGTATGCAAAATAAAGCCATATTAGTACGAGATCCCGCTGCAAAATCACTACGTTCATTAAGTTTTGAGTGAAACACAAATTTTTACATGATTTTATGAATAGGAGAATACACTGATAACACCGCAGCCAGTCAAAAGTGGCCGCAAGTAATTTTAATTAAATTAATGTTAATTAATATTTCAAAAAAAATTTCGTTTACTTCTCTTTAAAATAAAATATCATCCACATCATAACAATGCATGTAAAGAATTCTAAAATCCTTAAGTGCCGTTCCATACTCTTCCGCAATTATCTCGCAGCCAGGTGTAAGCAGGTAATATTTTGATCTATCTATACGTTTGTGACTTACACGGATGTTTTTTATATCAAATTAAAGCTAATTTTTTTTTCTAACATGATGATATATTGCTGCCTATGAAAAAATAGCCGCAAATTAGGAGTGCCATCAGTTAAAAACGCGAGATATCTGAGATCAAATGAGAGAGAGTTAGTGCGCAACGCCACTTGTTAGATGAGGATAGTGAATGCCAACTGTGTGAGTATTTGAAGCTATTGCTATTGTCGACGCATGCGCAATAGCTTCAAATACTCACACAGTTGGCATTCACCATCCTCATCTAACAAGTGGCGTTGCGCGCTAACTCTCTCTCATTTTATCTCAGATATCTCGCGTTTTTAACTGATGGCACTCCTAATTTGCGGCTATTTTTTCATAGGCAGCAATATATCATCAAATTAGAAAAAAAATTAGCTTTAATTTGATATAAAAAAACATCCGTGTAAGTCACGAACGTATAGATAGATCAAAATATTACCTGCTCACACCTGGCTGCGAGATAATTGCGGAAGAGTATGGAACGGCACTTAAGGATTTTAGAATTCTTTACATGCATTGTTATGATGTGGATGATATTTTATTTTAAAGAGAAGTAAACGAAATTTTTTTTGGAATATTAATTAACATTAATTTAATTAAAATTACTTGCGGCCACTTTTGACTGGCTGCGGTGTTGTCAGTGTATTCTCCTATTCATAAAATAATGTAAAAATTTGTGTTTCACTCAAAACTTAATGAACGTAGTGATTTTGCAGCGGGATCTTAGACTATAAGAATCATAGCGAATATTGGGTAACGTGAGCACTGTCGACCACAAACAATTTGTTATTATGGCATTATCATCACTATTTATTTTTAATACAGTTTTCGAAATTGTGGGGATGATTTGTGCGAGTTTGTTTATTTGAGGTGCGAGCAGACGTTTTATCAATCAATCCGTAATTACGGCTACGACACTGGATTTACAAAGCTGCCATACTTAAATAAATTGCGTACTTTCCTGGAAATCGACTTCAGCTATGATAGTTGTAACTGGTAATAACTGGCATTAGGAATGCAAATATACTTCCTTAATGTAATTTTTATAAGTCTTTTGTGCGTTTTAGAGCCTTAAGTCAATTCCGAATTATAAGTTAAGTCAATTCCGAATTATAACCATAAACAATCCTTGTAACAAGACTCTCTCTTACTCTCTGATAATAATTTGCCAACAACGTGGATCACCGTAAATGTTTTCAATTCGATTTTTGTAAACATGATTAATCTAGTAGTTGTTCGTCGTTGATTTAAACTTCTCACAATTAAATAGAACATTTTACATCTCTATGTTATAGTCGATAAAAAAATAGTTATTTTCCTAACAAGTGCGGAAAGTGTTACTTTCTCGCACGCGACTGCAGTTGGTCAAGTGCGGGAAAGACACTTTACGCATGAGTTAGGAACATTATTTTTTCTACGACCGTATATACAAAAAAGTAGGAAAAATTATTTTTGGAAAATTATTTTATTTCAACATATACAAATCTTTAAATAAAAACAACTAATTATTATGGATATTAATGTTGGTTATCGCTTCACCTGAGTCTGCTAGGAATGTTGCTGAAGAACGTCTAAAACTGTGTCCTGTATATCGTTCAGGATTAGGTAGACGCAAATATGCAGCAATCTCTGTTGGCATCTTACCAAAGGTGGTTACGCCAACGCACTGAATTGAGCATTTTCCCTTCTTATAATTAATAAAAAAGCGGCGATGCGGAGTGGTAGGTGGTCGTAAACTTGCGTACTTTCTGTTTCCATTATTTATTTCTTCACATAAAACAAATGATCTTGAAGAATGATTTTTGAAATCGGAAATTTTCACAACTATCAGATTGCCTTTATCTTGTATATCATCGAGAGTGATATTTACAAGCTCCGCTCTGCGGAGAGCACCAGCTAAAGCAAAAATGGTACTCACTTTAATCATAAGGTATACCTCATCAGGGGCTAACATAAACCTGGATATATCTTCTTTGGTAAAAACCTGCGCCTTCTGTGCTCGAAAATCAACATTTTTTTGTTTTAGAAATGACGTTAACTTATGGAACTGGCTTATATCCAAATTTTGTTTTATTTTTACTAAACTTTTCACCATCGAATAGCGAGACCATAAAGTATTAGATTTCAAAAACTTACTTAGGTGCGAAAAATACGCCAGAAACACCTCTTCTTTGTAGGTTTTTACCCCTTCCTGTTTACACCATGTAACAAAATGGTCGTATTGTTTTTCATATCTTCCTCGTGATTTGGAAGGTAACACCTCCAAATGTGCTTCATTTGCAGCTTTTAAAATGGCTTCGATCAGCTCTTCATCCGATGAATCCATTATTTCTTTAATTTATTTTAATTCAGTTGACGTTTCAACAAACAACTTTGACGTTTTTGTAACAATAACACGCCTTGGTTACCATATAGCAACCATATCAAGCCATACATGTCACAGCCTAGTCTGACTTTTAAAAATATACAGAAGGTATATAAAAATATCTCTATTATTCAAGTTTTCCAAAAAATTAAAATTATAACAAAAAGTAAGAAAAAAAGTAAATTTTATTAAATGGAATAGTTGGAAAATACTAAATTACCTATTGTAACAATAGTTATAACATCCGAGGTAAAAAAACTATACAATAGGTAAGGCCAAATATTCATAATTTTACTTTCCCGCACTAGTGCGGGAAAGTGATTTTTTCCGGCACCAGTGCGGGAAAGTTACACTTTCAAAACTAAAATGCGTGCGGGAAAGTGGGTAAAAATACACGGTCGTAGAAAATAGTTATTTTAAAACGTTTTCATAATAACCAGAAAAAAATTCCGGAAATTTTTCTCTTGGAGAGTATTCTGCATGAAATTACACTGGATATTTTTTGACATTTGAGAAGCTCTTTAATGCACACGATATTACGACGCGACGGTGTAATTAAAAAGTTTGCCATTTCAATTGTTAAAATTTTATTTAATACCAATTATAGATAGAAATACCCTACATTTATTTTAAGTTAAATAATAATTAGGGTTTTCGCGTCGCCTAAACGATTTCAAATATGAATAATACGCATAACTGGCATGACCAACTTTTTCAAATTTGATTTTAGTCGTTTTAATGTTATTTCGGTGTAAAATACCACACGTGCCAAAATTATTGTCTGGAAATTTTTGCTCACTTACGAATATTTTAGGATTTGTAAGTTCGAAAAAATTTCCGGAAATAATTTAGGCATTAGTGGTATTTATTATAAGTGAAAATTAAAGCGATTTCTTCTTGAAATGTGCTTTTATTGTCAGCGAATATACATACTATTTTAAAAATAAAAATGGTACATATATGTATATTTTGTAACTGTATTTATATCTGTATAATATTTTGATACTTTGTTTTATTTTATTTTGCTCTTGGAACATATTTTAGTTATTTGTGACTTGATACAAATGTACGGTTTGTATATAACGTAGTGAATAAAATTCTATTACTACATTAAGGAAATGTATTAGAGTATTTGAACTAAAATATTAGTCGCATAACGACCGAACAAGCAGTCCGAATCGTGTCCTTACGTTTAGATGGACAATCGCTGCAATATGTTACTGAAATAATGATAATCAAAAAATCCAACGTTTCTAGAGTGTTAAGAAGGTTTAGAGAAACTCGAGGCTACAACAGAAGGCCAATTCCAGGACGTCCCAGGTGTACCAACCCTGTAGATGACCGTTATTTAAGTCTGCAGACTTTGCGTACATGTCATGTTAGAGCTAGGCAACTGCAAAATGTTCTCTCCAAACTCCGTGTAAAGTTCGAATATTATGTCAAATTCGGTTAGAAACAGATTAAGAACATTTAGAATCTGAGCCAGAACACCTGTTACTGATCTATTGTTAACCAGGACACAACGTGTGCCGTGTCCAATCAGAATACATTATTTTAAAGCAAATGCATGATTAACGTGTTGACATGTTGACTAGATACAGGCGCAGACTACATACGTTTTTGTCGGCATTTTTTTAGTATCGGCTAAAATATATATTTATTTATATTGGTTCCTGAAGCAAACGGTTTCTTTAACTATAAATTATAATTGCTGGATATTAGTAGTTTTGTAAATAACTAAAATATTCTATTATAATGCAGAGCTGTAGATTTATTCATTGAAGATCACGAAATTTTCAGATGCGCTGTATAAATATATTCTCAACTAAAGAAAGTTTTCAAGCTACCCCATCAAACGTATCTAACTAGTAGCCAATTAAAATCAGATTTTATGAGCTCTGTGCAACACAAGTTTTTAATTTTACCACCCTTTTCTTATTGGTTGTTCGGATAGAAGTTTTTCTAGAATTAGGTCATAGACGATGAGTTTTCGAAGTAAAAAATCATTGACCTAAACAGGGCTATACCGTCCCTGCTTCTTGTTCTGCCGTGTCGCTATTTCGCGCACACACCCATATGCAGGGTTGTCGAATTTCGTAGCTAGAGAAATCGTATGGCTTATTTGCTGTAAGAATAAAATTGTTCACTTTAAACTATCGAACAAAAAATATATCAAAAAATTCTTTATGGTATTACAGATAATAGCTATTTATGCAACCAGTTACGAACTGCCTTATTTTATGTAACGATTCAATATTTGTGTGCATATGCCTTCATTCGTTTTATTGACAAAAAGGTGTATTTTTCTTTTCTTTTCGCAACTTTTGACATAAGCATTTTTTGTAACCAGTTTCATAATCTTCAACATTCTGCAACTGGTTGCGTAAAGTAGATCATTTAGGTACTTGCTGCGATTACAAAAAAATGTCTCTTTATATGTCGAAATTAGTAAAAATGGTTTTAAACGTATCTCTCCGATTATAACCACGCACTAGAAATTAAATATCTACAACCAGATAGTTTAATTGTGTGTAGAGGAGTTCCACAAGGCAACGTCCTAAAATCTCTCATCTTATTGTTTATATACATGATTTAAATGCTTTGTGCTAAAAGTCAAACTACAATTGGCCACCAATTTTCACTAAATTAAGATTTAGAGGCAGATGAGTACTTACAGCTATAAAGAAATTTTTTAAGTGTTAGCATATTACAAGCAGTAACCTTAACAAGAGAGAAAAGCATGGAGAAAATTTAATATACAGAAGATAAAAAAATGTATCGTATAATAATTTTTCTTTGGAATCTTTACGTAATTCTAGTATAGAAATAATATGTATTTGTATTTTTTATGCATATTAGAACTATCAAATTTTATTTGATTATTATTGCAACTCGTTGTGCATCCAGGAAACGATAAAAAATTAAGAAGAAAAACATAAAGGATTCTGTCAATATGACATTGATAGGACATCATCTTCTGGCATTGATATAAGAGAACGTGGGGTTTTAGATATTAAATGTATATATTCCAATTTGGTTCATTATTAGATGCAGTGATCGAATTGATATCTTCATTCATATATTCAAAGTAAGTAATATCTACTAAACATATATTTCCACTACTTACTATTCTTACTATTTTTTGAATCATAATTGAAAATAGTATGTAAGCTTCAAGTTTTATACTTTCCATTAAAAATACACCATATATGATTAGCTGAATAAAGTTGTTGTTTAGCTAGGAGTCATTTTCAATTATTATCGCTGGTGGATAGATTTAAAATTTAATGATAGATACAAAGTAGCTCCATTGGTAAAAACGAAACCAACACGATTGTTAAAACAAGTAGAGCAGAAGGGGAATAAATAGAAAGAGAGGCCTAGAAAAACATATATAAATAGAATGAAAGAAATCTGAAAATATAGAGGAAAGTAAATCAATATAGTCATCTATAGAAAAGAATGGAAACAGTGAACCTAAACAGAATAGAACAGAACGAACTCTAAATTCCAACGCTTGTAAAGACATAAAGAGTAATAAGGAGAAGAAGAAGAAGAAGAAAAGCCGAAAAAGGGAAAGAAAAAGAGCAGCAGGAAGGTGAGGAGAAGAAAAAATACAATTATTAGAGTAAATGTGTGCTGAAATTACATTTTCTATTTCCAAATATAGGAACCTTGATTTCTATTCCTATTAGAAAAAAATAATAGTATGACTTTAATAGGGCAACTGATACTGTCATAGCTATTCTAAAATGTAACGGTGCCACATAGCTTTGCGAAATTCTTTAGATATTTAAAAAAATTTCATTGTTATGTATTAAAACATTTATGCGATATATTTATTTTAAGAAAACACCGTTTCTTTAACTTTTGAGATGCTAAATCAAAGGTACGATCTTCATACAGTTAAGGGCCAGAAATCAAACGTAAAGTAATATTGGTTATACTATAGCTACTCGTATTTTCATATTTCATTAATGAACCACAGTAAGCCAAATAAATTGTGACTCAGTCACCCCCTTTCATGCAAAGGGCACGTATATCGTGACAATTTAGCTTTTAAATAGTTTTTGAAATGTAGTAAACGAGAAATAGGAAAGAAAAGAATCGTTAGGTGACCATAATAACAGTTTAAGAAGGCGTATGCCCTAAAATATTATAATTTCTCCGCTTTGTTTTGAAAGTGCACAGATAACTATTTAAACAAAAAAAAAAACAACCTAATTTTATTGGACTAAGGGGAGTATTAGATCAGAATACTTTATTATCAGTAATACTATATAAAATTTTTATATAGTGTGTCAGAATTTAAACCTTTAAATAGTTACATCCACATAGAATACTAGTAAAATACACCATATTTTACATACATACAAGATATTAAAAAATTTAAAATAAAATAGGATTTTAAAAGATCATACGGTTGGTAATACACTAGTGAAAAAAATTAAGGGATCAAAAAAATAATCTCGATTTTTGCGATTTTTCGGTGGCTGTATCTTTGGTAAAAATGGTCGTATGTTAATAAAAAAAAGCAATTTGAAGCTTATAGTGTCTAGTTTATGAATCTTGCGATAAAAAATTTTCCAACCAACAATTAGCACAAAATCCTGATGAATATCATGGATAGAAAAACGCGATCCTTCAATTTCTTCACTCGCATGAAACAATGGAACAACTTGATGGATCAGGTTGAAATTTTGTAGGGCTTTCGGGGAACAATGGCCTGTAAGATGCACACTCAACATTATTCATTTTCCCAATATTCCCAATGTGGCACGTGATTTTCTAAAAACCTCAAAAAATTCGAAATCCGAATTTCTTCAGTCATGCCAGGGATGGAAAAAAAAAAAAATGTTCTCGTGAAAGAACATGCCAGAACCTTGTAGAGAATGAATCGAAGTTTCCGAAACCCCCCTTCCATTTTCTGAGCGACCATTGGTTCCTGAGATATTGACGAGAGAAGAGGAAAACGCATTTTCGTTCATTTTCTGATAACTCAGCAAGGAAGGGTCATCTCGAGACCATCGAAATAAAGGAATTGAAGCTAACTGAACCACCTATTTAATGCATATAGTGGTTGTGTCGAGAAATTTTTATTCAAGTCCGTACACTAAAAAAAATTTTTTTTTCAAAAATTTTATATCCATGATATTCATCAGGATTTTGTGCTAATTGTTGGTTGGAAAATTTTTATCGCAAGATCCATAAACTAGACACTTTAAGCTTCTAATTGCTTTTTTGTTCACTCACGTACGACCATTTTTAACAAAGATACAGCAACTCGAAAAATCGCAAAAAATCGAGATTTTTTTTGATCCCTTAATTTTTTTCAGTAGGTATTAATAAAAAATTAAAACATATATAAAAATACCACAAATATTAAAAATATTAGGTGACACGTTTCACTCATAAAATACTGTATTCATTTACACCAAACATATTTTATCTGAGTTACAGGTCGAACATATCTATTTTTTTGAGTTACTAGTCGGAATAGTTGATTTTCTGAGCTGCCCCTCTTTACAGGTTCACGATACCGCCTATTTCTTTTGTCTCTTACTCAACTCACTAGAATCACTATTATCAACCTCGAGTAAACGCTTATACTTTTTGATATTTCTGAGCTCTCCAGTGTGCATCTTAAACCACACCAAACGTCTTAGATAAAATAAGAGGCCGAAGGTACTACCGAACCGCTCACATCAAAAGTTTAAGAGAAATGAGCTCTTTACTGCGCATCTTAATCCGTCAGCCGACAGATAGACTGAGCATTCCCAAGTCCCAATCTATATGTATAACGTTACATGAACTTGACACCAGGAGCCTTTTTCTTTTTTCTAAATGGCCCTATATAAGATACAATTCATAAAAACATTCATTTGATGACAAATTTAGGTATTGAAAATAGCAACGTCGCCACGTTGTTAATTAAATTGCGGGGACGGGAATGAATAGGGGTGCTGGGTGGGTAATTAACATCAATAGTTATCTAATGATTATAAAATATTATTAGGGCCAGGAAAATTATTAAAAATACTTGGCCTTGAAGGTGAATAAAATTGAATGGGATTCAATATGGCAACGTTGCAAACTAAAGGACCACAAATGTCATTTTATTTTTTTTATGTATTGTGGTCTTTGTGGAAAGAAATGGTGTTAAAAGTTAGGTTACACAGGCATAATAGAAATAAAATTAACAAATGAAATTTAATTTTCCGTTCCTATCTAATTTAAATTATAAAAAAAACTTCCAAATTACCACCACTGGATAATAGAATGAAACCAGAATATTATTTAATATTATAGAGGGAAAATGAGTTCAAATAAAAAAAAGGAGTTTATGTGAAAACTCGATATATTTGGCAACACGGCGATGCTCCGTGCTACGTATTCCAGGCGCCGCGTCTCCCAGACCTCGCAGGAACACCCCAATATCACCGGAACATACTCGACGCCCGATCTAGAGACGAACCTAAAACCAGCAGACACTTTTCCAGTTCTCAGCATCGCGCCAGAGCAGAGCGGAGCGGAAGTTTCAGTATTCTCTCACTAGTCGTCAGCATTGGTCGCTGTCTCGATCCATTCATTCTTTTTCAATTGAAAATTTTTAAATGTCGCGGCGCGATCTATGAAAAATTTTTCACCGAATTTTAAGACGGAGTTCCTTGTTGAGAATTTAAAATACAGGAATGGTTATCTGTGATTTTTGATAAAATAAGCTTTAGAGTAGGGGCGACAGCTTACCTAGGTTTAGGTAAGACGAATCGTTCTGATCAGATGATGGGCATTATTGGTAAAGTTAAATTTACATCATTTATAAATTTTATTACAGGAAAAATAAAACGAATGAATTTAAAAAGATTTAAATTAATTTTTCTTTAAACTTTGCAAAAATAATTAAACAAAAGTTACATAAAAGATCTAAAATGTTTGTCTTCCATTTTTGAAAGATGTATATAGGTACCTAATATTTAATGTTTTCTTAATATAAGCTGTTCTAGAAAAGTGTTTTATGTAGTTAAAAATGATGACTCAAAAAAATATCAACTTCACTACACTACTGACAAAATAATTTAGGCGCGACTTTTTAACAATTGAATCCAACCAAGCATAAATAGAGGTAAATTAAAATGTGCAGGCATTTGTCATAGTTATGAGATCACTGTGTGTCACGAAACATTATAAAAAATAGATACATGAGAAACCAAGATTTAAGTACACCTGAAACAGAATATTATATGCATACCTCTAACTTTATTACAAATTCAAATTAATAATTTCTACTGGCTTTAAGCAGATTAACTTATGAAACAAATTATTTAACTTAATTCTGTTAAAATTTGAAAAATAATAAAGTGCTTAAACAATCAATTATTGCTAACAAACATTTTTTTCAAATGAGTCATAAATAAATAATAAATATAATGTCATTAATTAAAAATAACATTAAAAAACAGATTGATTCGTTTATATTCGAAGTTTTATTTTTTTTATCTACTTGGTAGATACTAAATTATTGAAAAATGTTTGTTAAAAAAAATGTTTTTAAAGTAATAGATCATGACAAAGACATATATGATGACTCATACCTCATTTAAAAAAAGAATACTTGTAAGCTCCGACACGGGAAATTTTTTCATAGCCAATTTTGAGATCAATTTTTTTTAATTATTTCATATAATGTTTAAGATTGGTGAAAACATATTTTTATGAAACCGTCAATTAACTCCCATGTCTATGTCCATTTAATAGTTAAGAAATTAAAGTAAAACAACAGGAAAATGATTTCCAAATGTTTCTTCTTCTGCTTCTTCTTGTTTTGCTTCTCATAAATGAGGTCAGCCACGTACATTTTTCTCATCTAAATAATTGATCTAACTAAATTCCGTTTTGCAATATCATCAGAGTCGTATTGGTATTCTTCTTCTTGCTGTGATTCGTACCCTTAGTTTACCTTATTTGTATATTCTCTCCATTGCATCTTTTTCTAATTATAATTCTATTACTATGCTATATTGAACTTGAATAGAAAAATAATGTGTAAAGATTCAAGGAAATTTCTTTTTTAAATTAAGAAGTTTAAGG